GAAATGGTACTTACACCCATTCTAAAACTGTGTGACAATGCTGTAAAAGACATGCCAGTTGACAAATATCTGTAACAAAGTATTAAACACAAATTATTTTCAGATAAACAGCTGCGAAAGAAATGGATAAATTTAAGGGACCATTTTCGTAAAGAACTAAAGAAGTTTCCACCAGCACGCTCAGGTGATCCAGGTGATACTCTACAGTCCACTTGGCCTTATTTTCAACAAATGTTATTTATTAAAGATGATTTAACTGCTGAACAATCTTCCGGAAATTTGGATGCAGTAACACACAACATTTCACAAGACCATGCCGATACAGATGAATCTAGTGTAATAACTGATGTCACTGATACAGTATCTCAATCGAGTTCAGGAAGCAAAAAGCGCAAGTTTGCTTCTGATTACAGAGAGCAATTTATTGAACTAGAAAATAAAAAAAATGAGTTACTTCAAATGAAACTTTCGCAAGCAACCACATCTTCAAATGATGGTGAAGAGAAATGTGAAGATTATTATTTCTTTAAAAGTCTCATTCCACAAATGAGAGCATTTCCGCCATTACAAAAACTGCGAGTAAAGAACAAAATTATGCAATTATTAATGGCAGAGACAGAAAAATTGGAGTACGAAATACGATATGACTCATATGGCTTTAATACCCAAGGCAACGTGGATTTCAACCCTTATCACAATATGGATAGACAGTAATTAATTAACTACTCTATAAACGTAATTTTCGACTGATTTATAGATTTTAATTAAGAATAAATAAATGAATATTATTGATTAAAACAAATGTTGTTTCGATATGGAAACATGCACTTACCTTATTGTTATAAGCAGTTTCTCTTCAGGTTTGATACTTTTTCTAAAATTGGTGTCAATCTTGACTAAACATGGTGAGATCTTATTTAATATGTAGTCAAAAGTGTGTAATGACATTCTCGTGTATTCAAAGAATTTATCGGGATACGTCCGTAAATCAGCGTATAATACATAAAATTCTCCAAACTCTTCTCTTCCTTTATTTAAATCGTGTGTGCCAAACTTCATATATTGTAATTTCCATTTCAAGTATGAATTTTCCATTAATAAAAGCAAATCTTCATCCATGTCTTCTAAATACGTAGCAAAGTTTGAGAACGACCAAACACATGTGTAATGACACTCGTAGCTCGTTCGGCACTATGAATACGTAGACGCTAAGACCCGAGCGCCCGCACCCGCCCCCGCACCCGCTAGTGCAGTCTGATTGGGCGCTTACACCGCCAATACACGCTACATACATACAAACATATTTAAGTGTTAAAAATGGGAATGGCTTCGATTCAAACTGCGAAAACCACAACGAGTATAAGATTCGAATTTGGTGACCCATTTTAAGGCGTTTTCCTGACCAAATAACCTTGAGCATGCAGTGCACTGCCACCCGCACTCTGCGCACACCCATTTATCATAGAATTCGCACAATTTTTGAATAAATTTTATTTAAAAGAGAAAAGCGAACTTTAAAAATTAAATAAAACGTGAATAATACAGATTTTTAAGTTATCTATCCATTAGTGTAATCCTCAAATGATTAGAGCGTTGCCTTTAGCAACAGATGCATGTAATCAATAATTTTAGTCATTTTTAAAAGTAAATTTTAAATGTATTTATAATAAATTAGAACGTGGAATGTGATGATAGGATATTGAACATTAATAATGTGCTTTTAGATGTAGTTTATTTCGCCGTGTAGTGGCGGTTTAGAATATCCACTACCCCATATCTCCGTGGGTGTCGTAAAAGGCGACAAAGGGAAACAGGCAGGAGATGGGCAGCAGCATCTTCCTGATAACAACAAACATACAATAAAAAAAACTGCGGTTGCCAACCTGCTCGCCAAGCGTGGCAACTATGGCAAATACCCCCCTATGACGAGACTAACAAAGAAACGGCCCCCAGTCCCGGGCGGCCCCCCTATTCCTGGCTACGGTGGCGACCATGGTAACGGCGGGGCAGAGGGTGCTAAGAATCTCGGTTGCCACCTAAGACGTCTCGATCTGACAACATACAACGCACGCACCCTGAGGACTGAAGAGAAGATCGTGGGGCTAAAAGAAGATATAGACAAGTTACGTTGCCATATTATAGGATTATCCGAAGTCCGAAGAGAGATCACCGGGAGGGCGACCATCTGTTACAAGGAGGTGTCGGATTTATCGTCCACAAGTCTCTCGTTAACAACGTTGTAAAGATTGAGAGTGTGTCGACGAGGGTTGTGTACCTTATATTCATAATCACCAAACGGTATTCGCTGAAGGTCATACAGGTTTACGCACCAACCTCGGCACAACCCGATGAGGAGGTGGAGGAAATGTATGAGGATATCTCTAGAGCCATGCATTCCTTTAAACCCAATATACGGTGTTAATGGGAGACTTCAATGCAAAACTAGGCACAAGAGAGAACGGTGAGCTGAAAGTAGGGAAATTTGGAATAGGGCAACGGAAACCAAGGGGCCAGCAGCTGGGCGACTTCATGGAGAAAGAGGGACTCTTTATGATGAAGTCTTTCTTCCAGAAGCGGCCCCACAGGAAGTGGACCTGGTCGAGCCCCGACGGTTCCACAAAAAATGAGATTGACTTCATTATGACAACCAGACAACAACTGTTCAGTTATGTCTCCGTGATCGCGAGGGTGAAAACTGGTAGCGATCACCGAATGATTAGAGGCACACTGAACCTAAACGTTAAGTTGGAGAGGTCTCGTCTAATGAAGTCAACGCTCCGTCCCCCTCGTGCTCTGTTCCAGAGTCCCGAAACCTTTCAGCTCGAGTTACAAAACCGTTTTCAGTGCCTAGAAGACTGCAATGAAGTGGACGATATGAATGACAAGCTCGTGGAAACTGTCCATGCGGTCGGAGCTAAGTTCTGCAAAACCCGACGCAGAAGAACACAAAAGCTCTCCGATCACACTCTCAATCTCATGGCTGTTAGACGGGAGATGAAGCTACATTCTTCAACAGATTTGACAGCATACAGGCAACTGAACAGACAGATCTCAAAATGCATGCGACTTACGCAACTTCAATACAGCTTGTATTGAAGAAGCGATCGAGCGGAACCAAGGCTCCAAAGTCTTTGCCAGAGATCTGTCTGCCAGAAAGAGCCAACTGTCAAAGCTGAAGACCGAGTGTGGCAGCATCGTTTTCGGGACACCTGAGATTTTGAGTGAGATTGAGAGGTTCAATGGGCAGCTGTACACGTCATCGTTAGAGCCACACATAAGTGTGAGGAACGATCCTAGAGCGAGTCTTATCCGACACTATTCCGAAGATATCCCGGACGTCAGTCTGAGCGAGATTAGAATGGCTCTCCAGCTCCTTAAAAACGGCATGGCCCCAGGCGAGGATGGAATCACAGCGGAGCTTCTGAAAGCGGGTGGAAGACCGCTACTTGAAGTCCTTCAGAAGCTCTTTAATTCCGTCCTCCATGGTGGCATTACTCCGGAGGCGTGGAGCAGAAATGCGGTGGTCTTGTTCTTTAAGAAAGGTGACAACGCTCTCTTGAAGAACTACAGACCGATTTCCCTTCTGAGCCGCGTCTACGTGCTGTTTTCGAGAGTCATTACGAATCGTCTCGCGCGCAGACTTGACGACTTGCAGCCTGCCGAACAAGCCGATTTCCGAAAGGGCTTTAACACCATAGACCACATACATACCCTTCGGCAAATCGTACAGAAGTCCGAAGAGTACAATTTGCCACTATGTCAGGCGTATGTAGACTATGAGAAAGCCTTTGATTCCGTCGAAATTTGGGCGGTGCTGCAGTCCCTTCAGCGGTGCCAAGTTGACTGTCCGTATATCGAAGTGCTGAAGCTTCTGGACTGGAAAGGATACGGTATTAACATCAATGGCGAGTACATCACTCATCTTCGATTTGCCGACGATTTAGTCCTTATGTTAGAATCGCTGGAGGACCTAAGCACCATGCTCAATGACCTCAATAGTGTCTCCCAACGAATAGGTCTTAGGATGAACATGGACAAATCAAAGATCATGTTTAATGTCCATGTCACACCTATGCCGGTAGTCCTTGGGAGCACTAAGCTCGAAGTTGTTGACGAGTATGTTTACCTGGGACAAAATAGTCCGACTAGGTAAGTCTCAACTTCGACCGAGAGGTCAATCGACGGATTCAACTCGGCTGGGCAGCGATCGGGAAACTACGACATATCTTCTCGTCAGACATACCTCAAAACCTTAAAACGAAATTGTACAACCAGTGCGTGTTGCCAGTGATGACTTACGGATCTGAGACGTGGTCCTTCACTGCTGGCCGTATTAGGAAACTCAAGGTCGCTCAGCGAGCTATGGAGAGGGCTATACTCGGGGTTTCTCTGCGTGATAAACTTAGAAATGAGTATATCCGCAGTAGAACCAGAGTAACCGACATAGCCTAACGGATTAGTAAGCTGAAGTGGCAGTGGGCCGGCCATATAGCTCGAAGAACCGACAACCTATGGGGAAGAAAGGTTCTTGAGTGGCAGCCTCGTACCGGTAGGCGAAGTGTAAGGCGACCCCCCACGAGATGGAGTGACGACCTGGTAAGACATGCAGGAAGTCGATGGATGCAGGTGGCTCAAGACCGTGCTTTGTGGCATTCCTTGGGGGAGGCCTATGTTCAGCAGTGGACTTATGAAAGGCTGTAATGATGATGATGATGATAATGAGATGCAGTTTATTTCTCGTAACTAATAAGATATTTAGTCTCTGAATAACAAAGAAAAACGCCTTAAGTTTTTTTTTAAACACTAAATTAAATTTTATTGAAAACTTAATTTTTTAATAACTATACTAATAAGAAACGATATCATAAATTTTTATAATTCGGGAAATATGCGAGATGAAAAGTTCGCTAATGTACTTACAAATGTACAAACAGAGAAACACACATATATCCTTTAAAAACAGTCGAATCGAACTGACATTAAAACTAGAAAGAAAAATATTAAATTAAAATATACTTACGCGTATTCGAAGCGGATTTACTGTTGCAAATTGCGGTTTTGCTAATGCAAACACCATTACAGAGAGTTTCATGTGAGGAACACGCGCTAGTTCCTTTCTCAGCAACTGAAACCATGTACAATAATGTTAATCACACAAGATATACAATGTAAACGTTGAAGTTTACTGAGGTGCGAGTGATTAATGTTTTTGTAGTTTCTTTCGAATTCACTATGCATCTGTCGCTGAGAGTTCGGGTCACGCGGCCCTATGAAACAATCAACCAACTCCAAACACGGTAGGCTTCTAATGTATTATACCCTTATGACGTCAGAAAATCTCTCTGATAAGTTTGCTTTTAAAAAGTTGGTGCGTAATTATCTATTAAAGACAACGCTTCTTACATGAATCATCCATGTCATTTATACTGTTAGACGTATATATTCATAGCTATTTATATGTACTATTTATGTATGTATGTATATATTTGTATATATGTATAAATAGGAGATATTTCTATAGTTTATTTATTGTATATATTAGTAAAATGTATATATATAACATAATTAATTATCATTTTTATTTTGTTTTTATTCTATATTGCTACCTACTTCAAATTCTCAGCACTCCATGGGTTGACTGGTAGAGAATGCCTCAAGGCATTAAGCCTAAGTCAGCCCTTTGTATTATTTTAGATTAAGGGATGCAATAAAGAATAAATAAAATACCCCTAAAGACTAATCATTAAAATCCAGACAGCATGAGCATGACTCTCATACCTTTCAAAGAGAACAAAAGCAGTAAGTACAGTGCTGCTTGACGGATATAAGTTACCTACAGAGGGTGATAACCCAAACAGATAGACCACGTGGCCTAGTGTTCAGAATCAATGGTAATCAGGTTACTATGTTGTTGGTCTTAGTCGTAATTGGATCAATACCGGCCAAAAACAACATTTGTGCAAGAACACAAAGATTTTGCACAAAATGTTGTATCGTAAGTTCTATTAGTATTTCTTTCTTCGTGTGCACTGTATTTCAGCTTTCATCAGATTTTATTGCATAATAGTTGTGCGCGGTCAGCGCGCTAGCGTGAGGCATGACTGCATCGTTAGTCTAGTAAACGTGACTGTTAATCATGTGATTCTGGGTTCGAATCCCGAGTCGAGCCAGAAATTATTTATTAAATTTTTCTGTCGAGACATTCTCAGGAGCTGCCCGCAGTCAGAAAGTTGGCGGTGTCCCTAGGCCCCGGAAAGCATGTAAAGCAGTTGGTTTTGCGCCTAATATCATTCTGGTCGTGTTGGATTGTCGTCCCTTCAGACTATTGAAGTAAGGGAATAGAAAGTGCAGATGGGTAGTTTCCGTTGAGATTGGCTGTCGTGAACGAAATTCTGACTGGATGACATTATGGTAAGTATAGAAGCCTTTTTACTGGTAAAGAGGTATTCCATTTTAGGTAAGAGGTATTTTATCTTAGCCCTCACAGGTGACAACACATCTTAATCTTGATTCTTAATAGAGGGTAGATGATGGTGTTTAAATAAAATGCGTTGTCACCCGTGAAGACTAAGAAATAATGTCTAGTTTCCAGTAAAAAGGGCCTCCTGTTCTCTACACTCACCATACGAAACAGCAGCGTTAATCTGCTATTTTACGCTGGTATTCTGTGAGAGAGTGGTTCTTCCCCGGTCGAGCTGACCCATTCGTGCTACAACTATACTACTAATATTGGTGCAGCTTGGAATAGAAACAGAAACTTTTTTATTGAATATAGATATAAATAATACTTATTGATAGTCACTCTTTTGTTTAATTACCACTGCTTCGAAAAATAAAACCTCTGTCCTGGGAAGAACCAGCAAGAAACCCAGTGGGACTTTTTTTTAAATAACAGCTTACAATCATGTATGTTACACAAATTAACAACACTACAAATTAGAAATACCTTCCATCCATAAATTCTTTAATATTATAATTAACCCTTTTATACAAACTTAGTTTAATAAAGTTTTTGAACTTTGAGCAGGTCAAATTTTGTATATTTTCTGGAATTTTGTTGTAAAAGCGTATACACCGCCCAATTAATGAATTACTGACTCTCGATGGAGTCGAGTAATTGGTACTACTAGCTTGTGTTTGTTCCTAGTATTTACAGAATGAATATCACTTATTTTTGTAAAACTACTTTTATTTTTGTGTATGTACATTTCATTTTCATAAATGTATTGAGAGGCCAAAGTTAATATATTAATTTCCTTAAATTTTTGTCGCAGCGACTCTTTAGGCTTTAAATCATAAATTGCTCTTATGGCCCTCTTTTGTAAAACAAATATAATTTCAGTGTCAGCTGCGTGTCCCCATAGCAAAATACCATACGACATTATGCTATGGAAATAGCTAAAGTAAACTAGTCTAGCTGTTTCAACACTGGTAAGACTTCTAATCTTTTTTACAGCATATGCTGCAGAACTAAGTCTGCTTGCTAGTTTTGATATATGGGGGCTCCATTGAAGCTTCGCGTCTAGTGTGATTCCAAGAAAAATGGTGTATCTACAAGACTCAGTTTCTCCCCATTTAAAATTACATTAGTATTTTATTGTTTAACATTGAGTCATGAATTTGGTTGCCTTGGCTTTACCACGTAAAGTAGTTAACAAAATTGCACCTATATTTTTTTATTCTTTTTCCTTTTTTATGTGTTTATTTATCATACAACTTGTGGATAATGAAAGTGAAAGGTTACAACATGTGTAGTTATGAATTGCACAAAGACACATATAGATATAGATACATAGAATCAAGTCATACAAACTTTTCCGTACGGGATTCTTGTAGCTTCTTTGGCAGATTCCTTAGCCATTGTGCTACAAGATAGTGTTTATGGGCAACAAGATCAACTTACCATCAGGTCGACTGTGTGTTTATCACTCTAACATCTTCACAAAATGGTAAAAAGGTAGCTACATTATGCACGAGTTAGGTTAGGTTAGGATTAATGACTGTCTGTGTTGACGTGTATATCTATGGCACTATAATATCTGGTGCGTAGTTGAAAGCAGAGTTGTGTGTGTTGCATTTTGAAACAAAAATTCAAAAAAAAACGCTTACCATTACAACCTTCCTCGTCCTCTCCATGAAGGCAATCCTTCTTTCCATCACACTTGTGACTCATCGGGAAGCACTCGTTAGTTGTATGGCAGTAGAACTCGTGTTCCGTGCAGCTGGCGGGTGCGGTGCAATTGGTGGCGTTGGGCAGCAGCAGCAAGCCGGGAGGGCAGAGGCAGCGGTGGCGCATGGTGAAGTTGCTGGGCGCGGCGTGCGGCGCGGCGTGCGCGCGCTGCACGCACACGTGCGAGCACGCGCGCCGCACGCACGCGTGCTGCATCAGTGGACTGTCGGCGCTGGGCACGCTGGACGTCGCCAGGATGTGCAGTTGGCTGTTGTTGGGGAATATAGCTGGAAACGTCCAATCACCATTCAAATAAGGATTTCTTATATTGACATGAATACTACACACTGAATGAAACTAATATTACTAATAATCATCGTCATCATCACATCAAAGTCAACTGCTGAATTACCTCATATGTCTTCTCTACGAGGCAATCTATTTATATTGTTGTGCTTTCTACAACTTTAAACTTTCTAGAACTATCGACACCTAATCAATCAGGATCGGTATGTACTCGAACATTCTAGATGTTTCTACAGTAGAAGATTCTGGAAACTATCTGAGTCCCTATATAAGGCGGGTATAGACCACACTCGAGTGACAGCCTCGTACCGGCAGGCGAAGTGTAGGGCGTCCCCCCACTAGATGAAGTGACGACCTGGTAAGATATACAGGAAGTCGATGGATGCACGTGGCTCAGGACCGTGCCTTGTGGCATTCTTTGGGGGAGGCCTATGTTCAGCAGTGGACTTATGAAGGGCTGTAATGAATGAATGAATGAATAGACCACAACCGAGTCAGTGTTGAGTTGGCGATACAAGCGAATATTTCGAAGCGATACATCTGAGAAGTAAAGTGATCAGTAGTACAATTGTGTTTTATTATTAGTGTAGTTTTAAGTTATGTAATTAAAGTGTCAATTTTGGCAATTAAATCGGCAGTTTTTAATTGTCTCGAACCCCAAGCTCGTAACAATATTAACAAACAATATATTTGCCACAGTTGCTGAGCTTGGCTGATGGGTTGACGACCGCAGTTTTTTTTTATTATTATGAATCATTTTCAGGAAGATGCCCAAATCCTGTTTCCGTTTACCTCTGTCACCTTTTACGACACTCATAGGATGATTTGAAATAGTGAATTCTCTAATATCCGCCTCTACACATAATCTATTAATAATGATGTCTAATATTTCCACGAATACTACAATTAAAATAAAACTAATAATGTTTACTTATATTTAGGCGCATTATACACATTGAATTAAACGGAAAAAAGGGACAAAGCAAATTTATGTTGCAGAAGTGAACGGCAGAGTCGGGAACGAACGCCCTAGACGAAGATTTATCGACCAAATTAGCGATATATTGAAAATGGACCGGATTAGGAGTACCCTTAACCGACGAGTACATATGCGTAGATGATATATGGATGTAAAGGAGGCGAGAGAGGTTTTTCAGGATCGTGCCAAATAAAAGTCCGTGGTCTCTGCCTACCCCTCTGGGTAACAATTGTGAATGCTTATGTTGTTATGTTAAACGGAAAAATTCTGATGGCAAACACAATCTCAAAATATTATTCTATTTTCTAATACATGGAGGTTTTTTCATAATGTTTCTTTTGGTCACCGCTACACAATTTCATTAAACCAGTGAGAACCGAATGTTTTGTTCGAATACGGGTGATCGCTTATTCTGAAATGTACCACGGACTTCAGATTTATTTTGTGTTTTGACACGATTTAAATTACCCAAACCCACGATATTGATTAACGTCAAACATACGAAACTTCTGGAACTCCGATAACCAATCCGCCTGTCAGATGAGTCAATTACGGTAAATCCTTTTCACTTCCAAATAAGCCCATATCTAACAATAAAGGGCTGATAGAGAAGACACACGGGGAAATCATTTCTTACTCGCAAGTTACTTACAAAGTTCGATTTGTCGTATCTTATGTGTGACCTCGTGGATATCCGACCAGAATATCTTCGACGTTCGCCTGTCTGTCCAGAACACGTAGTTATCTGTAACCGCCAGGCTCGCTATCGTTGTGGATAGCTCTCGGAAATTCTCTCGACCGGTTCCTAAACATGCACATAAATTTATTAACGAACAGATCTAAAGATATAAATTAGTATTTTTACTGTGTTTACTTTCGAATTTTTTTGCAATGCAGATGTGCTTTCACCCCTGAGGAATAAGATGGAATGTTTCGTTTTTATTAAAAGGGGTCTCCTGAAAATCTCATGTTCACTACAATGACCACATGAAACACAAACATATAGCTGCTATTTCACGCTGGTATACAGTGGGAGCGCGGTCGCTCTCCGATCGATCCATACATGCTGCAACCATAATATTGCAGCAATATCACCCCATTTAAAATACAATGTGTTTTCAATAAAGTGTGTTACTACGTAATTATGCATATCACTTCAATGTGAGTTGTACCCAAAGATACGCGCAAGCAAGTTAAGTATATTGTTAAAATCTGTATGCATATTTACCTCCAGGATGTACAACATCGATGATTCCACGTCCCTCGTCAGAAACGAACACCACGTCCATATTTTGGGCGTAACGCAATCGCACATAAGGACCTTAAGACCAGCAATAACATGTTAATTACACCGAGAAATATGTAAAGGCAGAATAAGGGAAATTTATTACTCCCAACATACCATACAATCGGAATATACCAAAAACCGTTTCGTATACAGGCTTATTTTGCAATAACCGGACAAATTTGCAGAGAAGGTACTGAATAAGTAATATAGGCAAATAGTGAAGAAAAATTAATTAAAAAAAATCTCAAAACCTCTTTACTTTTTATCTTTTAAATTCAAAATGCGTGGTAATCTAATGCATTACGAGTATTTTAACTGATTTTACTACGCACGCACACATTCGTAGATAAGGGTCGATTGGTCGGCAAAAACGTTGTTGTCCAAAAATCAAATTCAATTTGGGATTATTTTAAATAATAGTAGAAGCCTTATTTACTCGTATTTTCAAAAACTGCAATAACGGTTAACGGTATATCATTATTTACATATTTGAACTTATGTTTAAAATTTGGTTACTCTTTGAAAAATAACCCCTGTATACGAGATATAAATATCCAGACCAGCAGTTAAACAGCATCAAAATCGAAGGTGTCAGACATCCGGTACTGTGATTGCAAATTCAGTTCAATAGTGTGTTGAAAAAGTAAAAATTCGTAAATTTGGGAATATTATGTCCTTCCATTTCATGTCCATCTGAGCACTGTTTTTATTTAAGTTTATGTTCAAAAACAAGATAACAATTTTAAATATATTCACAATGGGTTTGAAAATTATATATTACCAGATACGAAAATCAATGATAGAGAAAACGAACAGACCTTGTTCTTCAATTTTTTAAGAACCTTTCACAATGGCGGTATTGCGGGATCGCTGGTTCAAATCCCGTACAGAACAAGTATTTGTACAAATTATTGTTCCTGGCTTAGACGTTTTTCCATGTGCAATTTATGTATGCAAAACGACTCCACGATACAAAAACAAACTCTTGTGTAGGCAACTTATTTTATTAATAAAAAATATTAAAAGAATTCACTACTATAGGCTTTTTTCCAAGGATGCGTCAACCATAATTAGATTGCGTAACTTGCCTAAACTCAGCACGCTGAGAAGACAGGTCAGTGTGCACGGAACTGATATCCTCGCACTGGTAATATAGCTCCATCACCAGTCTTTGGGATTTCAGTACGGGACTTTCAAGCATCGTAAGAGAATCCATTTCCCCATTGAATCCCGTGGTTGTTGTAAAAAGTCAATAGAGGGAAACTGAAACAGGGGATGGGCAGCAGTAACTTCATAATAACCACACAAAATAATTTAATATGGTTATTGAAGCTTGGCAACTTTGATAATTATCCCCTATGATATAATCGTGAAGTCTATGTTCAGCAATAGACTTTGATACGTTGATAATAAATGAATGAATTTACGAAAGCATATCCCATTATTTGTACTCTACCAAACATCGTAAGTTAATATACATATATGTAGGGGCTAAAATCAAACTCTCGCAGAAAATTTACTACGGGGAGTGCTCTGAGGAATTGTTCGGATTAATTTCACGAACACACATCGCGGTAAAACTTACGACACCATCCACACCTTCTGGATGCTTGGCGGTCAACCACTGTACGTTTTACTAGCAGATTTCTTCCTCGTACGACCCTATCAGTGGAATAGTTTAAGTTACACCCTATATACGTCCCACTGCTGGGCACAGGCCTCTATAATAAGTGTAACTATTAAAACTCTAATCCTGAAGTGGCAGTGGGCCGGCCATATAGCTCGAAGAACCGACAACCGATGGGGAAGAAAGGTTCTCGAGTGGCAGCCTCGTACCGGTAGGCGAAGTGTAGGGCGTCCCCCCACGAGATGGAGTGACGACCTGGTAAGACATGCAGGAAGTCGATGGATGCAGGTGGCTCAGGACCGTGTTTTGTGGCATTCTTTGGGGGAGGCCTATGTTCAGCAGTGGACTTGTGAAGGGCTGTAATGATGATGATGATGATTAAAACTCTCATAAGGAGTTATATGGTTAATAGTTTACCACCGGCGATTTTTCCCGACCGATATGACTCAGGGACCTTCAAGAAAAGAGCTTACTCCTTTCTAAAAGTCCGGCAATACAACTGCGATTCCCCTGGTGTTGCAGTTGTTCATGGGCGGCGGTAGTCACTTACCATCAGGTGAGCCGTATGCTCTCCTATAAAAAAAGAAAACGTTGACATTTGTAAAAAAAATTCAAATATCACTTACACCACTTTAGGCTTGGAGTTTCTTATTATGCTTATTTTCTTCGCAATCAAATTAGCAACTTTTTCACCAAAATAAAAATCAATTGATTTATAATTTTATGACGACATAAATCAACCGAACCTTTAATCACATCACGTCATTGAAATATCGCTAGTAAGTAAATCGAGATGGAATTATATTTTTGAACTCCATTAATCTTACCCATTAAATTATTCAATAAAAGAGGCTCCCTGTCTTCTCCATCTAGACCGATGCTGTCCACGTGGATTTCGCTACTTTGTTCACTTTCCACAAAGGCTATCAGCATTCTCCTGCACAGTATAAAGGCATCAATAATGCTATCATATTCGTGCAAATACACATTGTTAGTTTTCGAGCCTGAATATATTACGCTTAATGATTTTGATTCCTAATCGAGGATATGTATAGTCAGATAGCATCCACTTACCATCAGGTGGACTGTGTGCTCGTTTGTCAGCCCCGTAGTCAACTAAGCATCTTTTTGTTCCATTGGTGACAACAGGTGACAAACGAGCACACAGTCAGAATCCACCTGATGGTAAGTGGTTGTTGCGGCCCATAGACATCTAGATATATCCTCTATTACAAATCAAAATGCAGATTGTCACCCGTGAGGACTAAGATGGAATGCCTCATTTCCAATAAAGAGGGTCTCCGGTTCTCTACACTCACCATACGAAACACAGCAGTGTCAAGCAGTGTTAAGCTGCTATTTTACGCTGGTTTCTGTGAGAGCGTGGTCCTTTCCCGGTCGAGCCGACCTATTTCGTGCTACAACTATACTACTAATATAACTGTAGCATGGCTCTACCACGTAAAAAAATATTTTTCAGATTTTAATTTTATCTAAACTAAATGGATTCAATCAATCAAAAATTAAAGTAGATGAATCTATTACTCATTTCGTCGTGGATGTCGTATGCGTGACAATAGAAAATGCCACAAAATTCTTAAGCTTCCTATAAATGGCGGTGTAATTATCTCGTTAAGTCGGACGTAAAATAGCCAGACCGGGCAAGGGCAGCAGTGACAAGGGTGCGAGAGATCTGGCAGTGCGGTCTTTTCATCTGCCACGCGCTACGATTAAGTCAAGTCCTTAAAAAATGAAATAAAAGAACCAAAACTTGTAACAAAAATTACCCAGCACAAGTAAACTTATGCAGGGGTTATAACGTATAATGTAAGGTAGGGGAAAAAGTTTCTTGGTATTTTATATACAAATTCAAGACATTTTTTTTTCAAAACTTAATTACATTTAATTATATTATATACGTGCCATTTTGTTCGATAACTTGTTACCATCTTGTAGGTAGTGACAATCCGTCAGTCAGGACTATATGGTGGATGTATTAACAACTCCTAACCAAGAAGCACTTTCAATTTTTGATGAGTGACTAAATATGTGTGTGGTCCAACGTTACCATGATGAAAGATTCTTCAATTTCTTGCTTGAGTCTCATTAGTTGTTCGCAGTAGAGATCCGAATCTAGGGCTTTGCCGCTCCAATACCACCATACACACACCATTACCTTATTGCGTGTTAATCCGGGAAGCACTACAGTCTGTGGAGCTTGACTACCCTTTGACTCTTTGACTATGATCTTTTTCACACGTTCTTGTCGTAGGTACTTTTCATCAACAGTGATCAATCTTTTCAAAAATGGTTCAGTTTCATTAAGTTTCAATAGAGAATCGGAAATGAGAACACGATTCATTAGGTTTCTTTCAGTGAGCTCGTGTGGCACCCAAATATCAAGTTTTTTTTGTATAGCCAGACTTTTTCAAATGGGTCAAAACTGTTCTGTGGTCAATCCTCAATTCCTCGACTATTGCGGAACTACTGATATGCCGATATTGCGATCTCCACTTTTTCAAAAATGGTTCGATTTCATTAAGTTTCAATAGAGAATCATAAATGAATACACGATTCATTAGGTTTCTTTCAGTGAGCTCATGTGGTACCCAAATATCAGCCAGACTTTTTCAAATGGGTCAAAACTGTTTTGTGGTCAATCCTCAATTCCTCGGCTATGTCGAAACTACTAATATGTCGCTTTTGCTCCACTTTCTCAAAAATGGCATCGACTTAGAGACATCCGTATGAGGGCGATCAGAGCGAGATGCATCTTTGACATCAAAATTCCCGGACTGAAAACGCTTGACCCAACTTTGTGCTACTCTTACTGACACTGCATTATGTCCATAAACGAGCGGCATTTTTCCTTTTTTGTAATAAAAGTTCAGAATATATCGAATGGCTTCGTTAGAATAATGGCTGATTTACACAGGGACAGTAACTGGCTCCAAATTCGAGGCAAGTCAGTGCTGACCCGCTACTGGCATAATGTAAATTGATTTGAAGTCGTGTAAACGGTGCAAGTCAGTCGTCGGCGCCAGGACTGGCGCCTGTTTCTGTCCCCGTGTAAATCAGCCTTTACTGATTTTGGCGAACAGAAAAATAATTCAAAAATGGCGGGAAAATGTTTTTTACTTTTTCTTTTTCTTAATATCCTATATTATGTATTGATATTAAAACCAGCCAGATACAAACTGTACAACCAAAGAGATTTTTCTTAAATTTTATACAAACAAAATACGAAGAAATTTTTTCCCCGACCTATTACATTTTAAATAATTAGATAAATGTAATTTCTTGTCTTTGGGCGAGAGCATCCATTTACCATTAGGTCAATGAGGGCTAATAATCTTCCACTCACCAGATGTCGCTAGTTGTGTCTGAGGTAAAGTTTTTCGTTACACAATGTCAGTTAATTGAGAAATTAGTTTTAATTAATAGTTTATCATTATCTAGAGTATTATATTAATATACAACACAATGCGTCAGTGGTTAGATTTTTAATTTTTTGCACTTTATAACTCTTTTTTTTTTAATTTTTCTACTTTAAGTTATATTTATAGTTTGGTTTAATCATTTCTAATGTAATTAATATAAAATATAACTAACAATACGGAAAGAAACCTTAAATATTACATTTTCCTAAGAAATTATCGTCCCCGCTATGAAATCTGTCAAATATTTTACCTCACTGTAAAGTGGCGCCGCCCTGGTGGCAGAAAAAGTTGTGGATGCCCTCATTAAGCGCTAGTGACAAACTTACTCTATAATATAAACTTACCCATAATCTGACATAATACAAAGACTGATGGGTATCTCCTCGTCCAGGAAGCGATACAACAGCGCCCTCTGATTGGTTCTCAATGATACCACCTCGATGACGCGGCGTCCCGAATCCAAGATGTACAACGAGTCGGTTACGTAATCTGAAAGAAAATGAACACAGTGACATAAGCACCGTGTAATGGCGGTGTTAGGATATCCACTATCCCATATAAGACAGAAGATGGACAACTCCTAATAATAACTAAAAAGTAATCTACGGTTGCCAACTCGCCTGGCAAATGTGGCAACTATGGTGACGGCTCTATGGCGTAATGACTTAGCAATGAGTTGCAGCGCTAAGTGCCGCGGGTTCGAATCCCGCACGGAACAAGTATTTGTATGACCTACAAATAATTGTTCCGGGTCTGGATGATTGTCCTTGTGAAATTTATGTATGTAAACGCCCCGACGATACGGGAGAAAATCCTAGGATGGAGGTTACGTTTAAAAAAAAAGTACAAAATGTTATTATGGTAAATATCTCCCCTATGAGGTAACCCATGTTCTATCGTAGTGCTCTTAACAACTACTTACATATGTGTGATTCTGTCATAAGGAAACCAACTTGTTCGGAAGGCTGTAAGTATTTAATTCTGCGTACGAGACGATCGTAATGCTCATCATAACTCTAAACAGTACGTAGTCGCGGCTCAGAAGGAAAATCGGTCTGTTGTTCTTCAAGAGAGCGTTGTCGCCTTTCTTTAAGAACAAGACCACCGCATTTCTGCTACCATGGAGGACAGAATTTAAGAGCTGCTGAAGGACTTCAAGTACTGGTCATCCTCACCCGGTGCCGTGTAAGATTTATAAATTTTTATAATAAGAATAAAAATTTCTATATTTGAAAAAATTATGTTGTTTAACAAAAAATAATACCAAAACGAAAATCACAAAATCTGCCTAAATATTTATACATTCTTGTGCTTACCGTAACCCATATCTACAACGTTTTCCAAGCCATTGTAAATAAACAAATGCGTCAGGCCCAAAGTGAAGTCGCTCATACTGATGAAGGTGATGCTCTTACGCTGCCCGTCGTACACGTACAATACATCTAATGAAACAACACACTCCAATTACTTTGAAAAATATAGACAAGAATATATACAAAATATTAGCTTCTTAAACAAACCCAATGGTGAAACCAATAACAAAGAAATCGTCAAGTTACAAAAAAGAGAAAATAATTATACACTATGTCATTTTTTTATAGAATAAGGGTGACAAACGAGCACACAGTCCAGCTGATGGTAAGTGGATGCTGTGGTCCATAGACATCTACATCTATCCCCGATTACGAAACGAAATGCAGATGCGTCGTCATCCGTGAGGACTAAGATGGAATGCCTCGTTTCCAGTAAAACAGGATCTCCAGTTCTCTACACTCACCATACGAAACACAGCAGCATTAAACTGCTATTTTACGCTGGTATTCTGTGAGAGCGTAATCCTTCCCCGGTCGAGCCGACCCATTCGTGCTACAACTATAATATAGCTGCAGCATTGGCTCTACCACGCAAGTTTCCACAGCTAAGACGAATTTAACTACATCCCTTATCTTTGTTTAGATTACAGTATGTGTCCAATAAATACATAAACATACGTACACTCAAAAACATTACCCTCTTTCTAGGGCAGTCGAGTATGAAATAAAATCACACTCATTCCATTCGATCCACAAATAAGAACTGGTTTCAAAATGATAAAACCATAATAAATATTTTTCTCGTATGTAAAAGTAGTTATATTTAGATGTTTTTAAATGTCCCAATTATAATGGGCCTCTGAGTGCTCCCGACTGCATTTCTATTGTATTTAACTACGTTTCAGAACTCCTCTTCTATTTAAAAACCCTCCAGTGGCGTAGCTAGGCGTGAGCGAGGACAAGACACATAAGTGCGATGGTCCCAGACTTTGATCAATTTTACGCCCGAAAAAGAACATCACAAATATAAAAGCGTGTTTGTTTGGAGCCTCGCAAGAAGCCCCTTTTAAGTGCGACTGAGAGGCCATTGTAACTGCCTTCAAAGACCGCGACCGCTAGATTGACGGAATACGAGACTTGTCAGAACTAATAACAATGAGTAGGTATGTCGTGTCAAAGCATGTTTGGTAGGATAGATCTATTGGGTAGATCTTGAGTTCGCCCACGTCTATATTAGTCCACGCTACGCCTCTGGCACCATCTTATCTTGTTTTGCGGCCAATTTGCACTGCTACGTTCTGATCTAGAGGGTATAGAGAGAGCCAGTACAATTACAAGCTGCGAGGCAGTCCATCTTAGTCCTCAAAGGTGACAACGCATCTTTAGCCTTCTTTGTTTGAAGTTAGCAACGGTGTTCATGGACTGCTGTAGCCACCTACCATCGGTTGGACTATAAGTTTGTTTGTCTTTTCAGTTTTATTAAATACTAGCTGTTCTCCGCGACTCCGCTCGCGTGTAATTTAGGGTTTTAATTCTGTTGCGCGGAACCCTAATTCTTTTTCTAAAATATAAGTAGCCTAATTTACTCCTTATAATAAATATCAGCTATCTGCCAGTGAAAGTCCCGTCGAAATCGGTCCAGGCGTTTAGGAGATTAGCCGGATCAAACAGACAGACAGACTGACAGACCGACAGACAGACAAAAATTTTAATAATTGTGTTTTTGTTATAAGTACCGTATATACTTTCATATGCATTTAGTAAAAAGCTGGTATTTTAACATTACAAACAGACACTTCAATTTTATTTATTTGTAAGATGTAAGATTTTAAAATTAAAAATTTTGTACAATATAAATTATTAAGAATAACTCAAAAACTATTGATCAGACCTTGATCAATAATATATATGGGACCACAGGTGAAGCACTAGCTTTCAAATAAAAAGGAATCATCGGAATCGGTTCACCCAGTAAAAAGTTATCATAAAAAAAAACATAGAGTCGAATTAAGTACCGTCTCCTTTTTGAAATCGGTAGAAAAGCGTGATCAATCCGAGAGCAAAGAATATTATTTATTTCTTTTCATCGAAATGCTATCTTATCTTGTTACTTACCTCTAACATTGTCATAAGCCATCGCCTGTACCCGGCCGATATCGAAGTGCGTGGCGTGGCTCTCAGGGTTGCCCAAAGTGTTGTACTCGATACGAGTGAACGAAGCTCCGCCACCTATCACCAAGTATTGCGGGCGATAGTCGTTGGGGTCTGTAAGAATAAAAGGAAATGTACGATACCAAAGTTAATTTTTGTTTGTTCGTAGTTTATACGCTGCCATACCGTTCATCAGATTGCGGTAAAACTTTGTCAACTTATTGTTTACACTTCCCGCGAAGGTTATAGTCATAGTACAATTAACTTGCAGTAGGTGGCGCGCGTATCGTACCAACAAATTTATTTGAAAGTAATCTAATATATCACTCAATTTCAATAAATGTATTATCATTCCTACACTTCGCCTGCCGGTACGAGGCTGCCACTCGAGAACCTTTCTTCCCCATCGGTTGTCGGTTCTTCGAGCTATATGGCCGGCCCATTGCCACTTCAGCTTACTAATCCGTTGGGCTATGTCGGTCACTCTAGTTCTACTGCGGATATCCTCATTTTTGAGTTTATCACGCAGAGAAACTCCGAGCATAGCCCTCTCCATAGCTCGCTGAGCGACCTTGAGCTTCCTCAGCCGGCCAGTAGTGAAGGTCCACGTCTCAGTTCCGTATGTCATCACTGCCAACACGCACTGGGTGTACAGTCTCGTTTTCAGGCGAAGTGTAGGGCGTCCCCTCACTAGATGGAGTGACGACCTGGTAAGATATGCAGGAAGTCGATGGATGCAGGTGGCTCAGGACCGTGCTTTGTGGCATTCCTTGGGGGAGGCCTATGTTCAGCAGTGGACTTGTGAAGGGCTGTAATGATGATTATCATTCCTAATTAAGCAATATAAGTCAAGTCAAATTTGAAACGATTTTTCCACAATTATTTTTTCTGCGGCAGCAACGCGCAGGGTACCAGCTAGTTGTATATAAAAAAATAATATCTTAAAAAATGGGATAAAATATAAATTTCATACAAGCGTCACACAACGCACGAACACAAGCGCGGAGTTCACCTACAGTAGCAGACAGTGACAACAACTCGTTAAGTACTGCAGATGCGGACAAGTTTTCGTACTTTCGTTCACTCTGATAAAATGTAAAAAATCCGTCGCGTAAACTTGGCGGTCACCAGTGCCTTACCATCACTTAGAGATTTTTTTTTATATAGAAATAGGGTGACAAACGAGCACACAGTCCACCTGATGGTAAAGGGTTGCTGTGGCTCATAGACATCTACATCTATCCTCGTTTGCGAATCAAAATGCAGATGCGTTGTCAGCCTTGAGGACTAAGATAGAATGCCTCTTTTCCAGTGAAAAGGGTCTCCGGTTCTCTACACTCACCATACGAAACACAGCAGCATTAAGCTACTATTTTACGCTGGTATTCTGGGAGAGCGTGGTCCTCCCCGGTCGTGCCGACCCATTCATGCTACAACTATATTATAAATATAGCTGCAGCTTGGCTGTACTACGTACAAGAATACTCGGTGTGTGTTTAAATTTTTAGGAGTGAAGACGCGTGATACTACTAATTTCTCAAAATAGGTCTCCCCTATTGAATGCCTTATAGGCAGGATTTTGCCATAGTCGCCACACTTGGCAGGCAGGTTGCCAACCACAGTATTATTTTGAGTAATTGTCGGTAAGATGCTGCTGCCCATCACTTATTTCAGTTACATTCTGTCGCCTCTTACGTCACCCACTTGAGAATATTGGGTAATGGAAATTCTTATACCGCGAGTACACAGTTAGCAATTTTTCGTTTGAATGCAAAATAAACACTTCGGCGGCGAATGGTAGCAAGCACAGATACACTTAAAGCATATACGAATATGTGCGAGCGTGTTCGCGACTGTCCGTGTAACCACGAGAAGCATAGGTAACACACGAACACAGCCAACGAGAATTATCTCTTGCTTACAATTTTCAACTCTACATTAGTTGTGATTTAATTTAAATTAATTAATAGTCAATATATAATATAAATAACCAACATTATTAATTTATCAATGAATATTGTTCAAGCCTTTAACTGCTTAGTTTCATATTCAAAACATTTAAAAACTAAAGACTTACGTTTGCAATCAACCCCAGCGATGAGCTCCATACCATCGGGACAGGCGCAGACGTGTGTCACATTCGATGTAACGAGGCACAAGTGTGAACAGCCCGCGTGCTCGCACGGGTTAGAAGTGCGGTTGAACATCAGTGGATGATATATGTGCATGTCTGTAAATGTATACAGAATTTAGCCATACTTTTTTTTTAATAAAATGAAAGCGTCAAACGAACTTACAACACAGATTATATAATGTCTTACAGTGCACCCGATGGTAAGTGGCTAGTGTAGTCAATAGACACCTTCAGACAACTTTAAATAAAGGTGGCTACAGACGTGTTGTCACCTCTGAGAACTAAAATGGAATGCCTCACTATTGAGTTACGCCGGCCACATACATACGGAATTCTGTTTCGGGATTCCGTTTCGGAATTACGAACGGGTCGGCCACACACATGCGGAATCCCGTTTTGCCCGCGAAATTTCGAACGGAAAACTACCGTACCTAAGGCACGCCACATACATACGGCATTTCGTTTCGGGATTCAGTTTCGAAATCTCGAATCGGAATATCGAAACGGAATCCCGAAACGAAATTCCGTATGTATGTGGTGGGCCTAAGTGTGTGACGGGTCATAGATTTTATATGGACTTGCTGCATTCGGAATTCCGAATCGGAATTCCGTATGTATGTGGCGGCCCTAACTCAATGTGTCTCACACCCTGTAATTATACTGGCTCTTTATACTACAATTAGATAACGTTCCCAGACGGACTTCATAAATAATATTTTTTTTATAGGATAAGGGTGACAAACGAGCACACAGTCCACCTGATGGTAAGTGGTTGCTGCGGCCCATAGACATCTACATCTATCCTCTATTACAAATCAAAATACAGATGCGTTATTAGCCGTGAGGACTAAGATGGAATGCCTCAATTCCAGTAAAAAGGGCCTCCGGCCACCTGCACTCACCAAACGAAACGCAGAGGTAAACCTCTACTTCACGCTGGTTTTCTGTGAGGTCGTGGTACCACCCCGGCTCGAGCCGGCCCATCCGTGCGACAGCAAAAGCTGCCGCGTGGCTCTACCACTGTTATTTATACATTATTATATATTTATACATTATAGTGTATTATGGCCGCAGTACGATTGGATCGCCTTGATCAGGACCACGAGCACACATAATATCAACGTAAAATGGTAGCATAAGCATAATGCTGCCTTTTTCGTATAGTGTGACAAGAACCGGCGACTCTTTTAACTGGTTACGTCGCATTCCATCTTAGGAGGTCATTTCCAACTCAGGGATGACAAAGTATCTTTATTCTAATTCTTATCCGAGTTTAGATGCAATTGTCATTGGCCACAGTATTCGCTTACCATCAAAGAGATTTAAAATATATCTACTACTTAAATGTCTTTGCTTACCACCATGTGAATTGTGTAAATAAATTAGGACACCATTAATTAATACACTTCCTAAGAGATAAGATTCTTTCTCTGCCGGAGACCGTCTCTTGCGTTTTTATTTTTAAGTTGTGGAAGACTCTGCTGCCCATCTTACGGTTTGTTTCCCTCTGTTGCCTTTTACGATACCCAGGGAAAGTATTATAGAGTATTAGTAATAGTATTAGTAATAGTAATAGTATAAGTATTATAGAAAAATATTATAAATAATTTTAAATAGTTATTTATAATATTAGAATAATAAATATTCAGTCCAGAACAATCCACATCACCTCATGTTAATAATTAAGGATAATAATTCTCCGCTCACCAGACGTCGCTAGTTGGAATTGAGGTGAAGTTATTTGTTACACAGTGAGGTTACACTGTGAAAAATTGCGTTTCAAATAAAAGTTATTCGGTGTCTTAATTTTTTGCACATTTTTTGACTCTCTGATTATTATTTTTTTACTTTTAGGAATATGTGTAGGTTTTAATCCATTTTTAATCCAATCAATATACAGGGTTATTTTGCAATAACCGGCCAAATTTGCAGGGAAGATTCAGAATAAGTAATATAGGCAAATGGTGAAGAAAAATTAACTTAAAAAAATCTCAAATATTCTGTCCTTTTTATCTTTTAAATTCAAAATGGGTGGTAATGCATTATTTTAAATGATTCTACTGCACACGCACACATTCGTAGGGGTCGATCGGTAGTCAAATACGTTGTTGTCCATAAGTCACGTTCAATTTGGGATAGATTGAAATAAAATTAGAAGCCTCATTTACTCGTATTTTCAAAAACTGCCATAAAGGTGTATTATTATTTATAAATTTGAACTCAAATTTAAAATTTTGGCTACTCTTTGAAAAATAACCCTGTATATTATAACTAATACTTCAGGAAAAAACATCAACCTTTAAATTTTTCGAACAATTATATTCCCCTCGATGAAATCTGTCAAATATTTTACCTCATAAATGACGCCACCCTGAAGGCAGAAAAACTTGTAGACTCATTGGCTACTGCAGCCCACAACACTTGACGGTGTAGCGCAGTTGTTAAGTATTTGGCTGTTAGGCTGCGGTGTTGAATTTTACACGAAACAACTATATGATATCGTAATATAAACGCGAATCCACTTGCCAAGCGTGCGCTGTATCCGCAACATGAATTAGTAAGCAGCAGCAGCTATATTTCACGAATTGGTCGGCTCGACCGGGGGAGGACCACGCTCTCACAGAATACCAGCGTCAAATAGCAGCTTAAAGCTGCTGTGTTTCGTATGGTGAGTGTAGAGAACCGGAGACCCTTTTTACTGGAAACGAGGCATTTCATCTTAGTCCTCACGGGTGACAACGCATCTGCATTTTGATTCGTAATCGAAGATAGATGTAGATGTATATCAACCACTTACCATCAGGTGGACTGTGTGTTCGTTTGTCACCCTTATCCTATAAAAAAAATTTCCAGCAAACTATTAAACTCACCAAACACAGGCACTTTCAAAGACAACAGTACGTTCCTCTTCTCCGAGCTGCTGTGAAGTTTGTCCGTGGTTTGCAAAGTGTTGGAGGTCCAGTCGCTCCAGAACACCGTATTCTCAAACACTGCTATTGCGTATGGGTGGTGGAACGGCTCCTCAAAGAGAGACTGGAATCATAAAGATATAGAAAAATACACAAGGATAGAATATGTGAACGGTCCACTAACGGCCTCCCATTCGTAAGAGAATAATAGCGGATTTCAGATTTCTTAGTTATATCTTCGCGCAAGTGCCAGCAATAAGTTGACAAAGCCGCACTCTGATGAACTGTATATCAGCGCATAAAATACGAAAGAAACGAATATTAATCTATACAAATAAGTTAAACTGAAGTGTTTGTTTGTTTCTTCCTTGTGGAATAGTTTACCACCAGGGATTTTTCCGGACCGATACGACTTAGGGACCTTCAAGAAAAGAGCCTACTCCTTTTTAAAAGGCCGGCAACGCATCTGCAATTCCCCTGGTGTTGCGGTTGTTCATGGGCGGCGGTAGTCACTTACCATCAGGTGAGCCGCATGCTCGTTTGCCCCCTCTCCTATAAAAAAAAAAAATGTCAAAATTACAGCTTTTTACAGCTTTGTACTAATAACAAAAATACAATTTTTAAAATTTTTGTCTGTCTGTCTGTCTGTCCGTCTGTCTGTTTGATCTCCGAAACGGCTGGATCTATTTCGATGGGATTTTCACTGGCAGATAGCTGATGTCACAAGAAGTAACTTAGGCTACTTTTATATTAGAAAAAGAATTAGGGTTCCGCGCAAAAAAAATTAAAACTCCAAATAACACGCGGGCGAAGTCGCGGGGACATAGAATTTTTATATATTAAGGTACCTGAGGGTAAGGGTGCGTACAGATTAAGTAACATGTTGTATAACTTGTGTTTTATAACACGTCCACATTATATTACATTGTTTTTTAACATTGTTACATATAACAACACTGTACACATTAGAATAATAATACAATATAACAATGTTATATGACATTGTCGTTTGTCGTTATGCAGTGTTATCCACAGTGTAAAAGCTTGTAATAATAAAAGTATCATAAAAACAAATTCTTTTACCACTGGAATACCTGCCTCTTTTGTAGAGCGAACCTTATTGTACGCATAACTTATATAACATTTGTAGCATGTTAAATAACATGTATTATAACATTCAGTCACGACATTACTGAAACATGTTATATAACAATGTTTTATAACATGTTATGATATATAATATGTACGCACCCTAATATGGTCACCTTAAGCTTTGCCGCTCTATAAAACCAAAACTAGTAGTCTTCCTACTAAAACAAAAAGTCGTATACTATAACGAATATCATCATCATCATCATCATTACAGCCCTTCACAACTCCACTGCTGAACATAGGCCTCCCCCAAAGAATGCCACAAAGCACGGTCCTGAGCCACCTGCATCCATCGACTTCCTGCATGTCTTACCAGGTCGTCACTCCATCTCGTGGGGGGACGCCCTACACTTCGCCTACCGGTACGAGGCTGCCACTCGAGAACCTTTCTTCCCCATCGGTTGTCGGTTCTTCGAGCTATATGGCCGGCCCACTGCCACTTCAGCTTACTAATCCGTTGGGCTATGTCGTTCACTCTGGTTCTACTGCGGATATCCTCATTCCTAAGTTTATCACGCAGAGAAACTCCGAGCATAGCCCTCTCCATAGCTCGCTGAGCGACCTTGAGCTTCCTCATACGGCCAGCAGTGAAGGACCACGTCTCAGTTCCGTAAGTCATCACTGGCAACACGCACTGGTTGTACAATTTCGTTTTAAGGTTTTGAGGTATGTCTGACGAGAAGATGTGTCGTAGCTTCCCGAACGCTGCCCAGCCGAGTTGAATCCGTCGATTGACCACTCGGTCGAAGTTGGACTTACCTAGTCGGACTATTTGTCCCAGGTAAATATACTCGTCAACAACTTCGAGCTTAGTGCTCCCAACAACTACCGGCATAGGTGAGACATGGACATTAAACATGATCTTTGTTTTGTCCATGTTCATCTTAAGACCTATCCGTTGGGAAACACTATTGAGGTCATTGAGCATAGTGCTTAGGTCCTCCAGCGATTCTGCCATAAGAACTATATCGTCGGCAAATCGAAGGTGAGTGATGTACTCGCCATTGATGTTGATACCGTATCCTTTCCAGTCCAGAAGCTTGAAAACGTCTTCCAATGCAGCGGTGAAGAGTTTCGGGGATATGACGTCACCCTGTCTTACACCTCTCTGCAATTGGATAGGTTTCGTACTCTGGTTCTGTACTCGGATAGCCATCGTAGCCCTACTGTACAAGCACTTCAACACTTCGATATACCGACAGTCAACTTGGCACCGCTGAAGGGACTGCAGCACCGCCCAAATTTCGACGGAATCAAAGGCTTTCTCATAGTCCACATACGCCAGACATAGTGGCAAATTGTACTCTTCGGACTTCTGTACAACTTGCCGAAGGGTATGTATGTGGTCTATGGTGCTAAAGCCCTTTCGGAAACCGGCTTGTTCGGGAGGTTGGAAGTCGTCAAGTCTGCGCGCGAGACGATTCGTAATGACTCTCGAAAACAGCACGTAGACGCGGCTCAGAAGGGAAATCGGTCTGTAGTTCTTCAAGAGAGCGTTGTCACCTTTCTTGAAGAACAAGACCACCGCACTTCTGCTCCACGCCTCCGGTGTAATGCCACCATGGAGGACGGAATTAAAGAGCTTCTGAAGGACTTCAAGTACCGGTCTTCCACCCGCTTTCAGAAGCTCCGCTGTAATTCCATCCTCGCCTGGGGCCTTACCGTTTTTAAGGTGCTGGAGAGCCATCCTAATCTCGCTCAGACTGACATCCGGGATATCTTCGGAATAGTGTCGAATGAGACTCGCTCTTGGATCGTTACTCACACTTGCGTGTGGCTCCTACGATGATGTGTACAGCTGCCCATAGAACCTCTCAATCTCACTCAAAATCTCAGGTGTCCCGGAAACGATGCTGCCACATTCTGTCTTCAGCTTTGACAGTTGGCTCTTTCTGGCAGACAGATCTCTGGCAAAGACTTTGGAGCCTTGGTTCCGCTCGATCGCTTCTTCAATACGAGCTGAATTGAAGTTGCGTAAGTCCCGCCGCATGCATTTGGAGATCTGTCTGTTCAGATGCCTGTATGCTGTCAAGTCTGTTGAAGAATGTAGCTTCATCTCCCGTCTAACAGCCATGAGATCAAGAGTGTGATCGGAGAGTTTTTGTGTTCTTCTGCGGCGGTTCTTGCAGAACTTAGCTCAGACAGTTTCCACGAGCTTGTCATTCATATCGTCCACTTCATTGCAGTCTTCTAGGCACTGAAAACGGTTTTGTAACTCGAGCTGAAAGGTATCGGGACTTTGGAACAGAGCACGAGGGGGACGGAGCGTTGACTTCATTAGACGAGACCTCTCCAACTTAACGTTTAGGTTCAGTGTGCCTCTAACCATTCGGTGATCGCTACCAGTTTTCACCCTCGCGATCACGGAGACATCACTGAACAGTTGTCGTCTGGTCGTCATAATGAAGTCAATCTCATTTTTTGTGGAACCGTCGGGGCTCGACCAGGTCCACTTCCTGTGGGGCCGCTTCTGGAAGAAAGAGTTCATCATAAAGAGTCCCTCTTTCTCCATGAAGTCGGCCAGCTGCTGGCCCCTTGGGTTCCGTTGCCCTATTCCAAATTTCGCTACTTTCAGCTCACCGTTCTCTCTTGTGCCTAGTTTTGCATTGAAGTCTCCCATTAACACCGTATATTGGGTTTTGGAGGAATGCATGGCTCTAGAGATATCCTCATACATTTCCTCCACCTCCTCATCGGGGTGTGCCGAGGTTGGTGCGTAAACCTGTATGACCTTCAGCGAATACCGTTTGGTGATTCTGAGTATAAGGTACGCAACCCTCGTGGACACACTCCCGATCTTTACAACGTTGTTAACGAGAGACTTGTGGACGATAAATCCGACACCTCCTTGGGACAGATGGTCGCCCTCCCGGTGATAGAGCAAGTTGCCGGATTCGAGGATTACCGTGTCCTCCCCCTCTCTTCGGACTTCGGATAATCCTATAATATGCCAGCGCAACTTGTCTATCTCTTCTTCCAGCTCCACGATCTTCTCGTCAGTCCTCAGGGTGCGTGCGTTGTACGTTGCCAGGTCGAGTCGTCTAAGGTGGCAACCGAACCTCCACCGGAGATTCTTAGCACCCCCTGCCCCGCAGTTACCATGGTCGCCACCGTAGCCAGGAATAGCGGGGCCGCCGGGGACTGGGGGCCGTTTCTTTGTTACTGTCATTCATAGGGGGGTATTTGCCATAGTTGCCACGCTTGGCGAGCGGGTTGGCAACCGCAGTTTTTTTTTATTGTAATTTGGCTATTATCAGGAAGATGCTGCTGCCCATCTCCTGCCTGTTTCCCTTTGTCGCCTTTTACGACACCCACGGGAGGATATGGGGTAGTGGATATTCTTGACCGCCACTACACGGCATAACGAATATATTAAGAAAAAAATTAGCAAACAAGCTTTGGCAATAATTAGGAACACTTCGAAAAATTTTGAACTGTCAAATGACGTCGATAAAGCAGCGCTCTTTCCATCTTTTATTATTTTATTGACTGATGAAGAGCTATCGTATCACACAGCAATCTATGCAAACAAGGCTGTAGTTTTTGAGTTATATATATAAGAAAGTGACCATATTACCCTCACGTACGATTAATCTTAGTCAATTCATACCACAAAGCTTGACGGTAACGTGTAACGCAATTTATGGATAGTATTTTTGTAATAAAATTGTATAGTTGTAATAAAATTATTAATTGCAATTATAAGCACCTTCTGATTTTAATGTCTTAATCTTAACATTCAAATTTCCGTCTTAATCTTAACATTCAAATCGTCAGCAACACAAAAATATAACTCGATCGGTGCATCTAAAAACTTCATTTGGCCAACGTTTTTATTAATTTCATGGACCCTTTTTGTATAACAAGGTAAATCCGGTTTAAAGATCTTTATTTCTCAATAAGACCATCGTCACTTACATTTTTTTTTATAGAATTAGGGTGACAAACGAGCACACAGTCCACCTGATGGTAAGTGGTTGCTGTGGCCCATAGACATCTACATCTATCCTCGATTACGAATCAAAATGCAGATGCGTTGTCCCCCGTGAGGACTAAGATGGAATGCCTCGTTTCCAGTAAAAAAGGGTCTCCGGTTCTCTACACTCACCATATGAAACACAGCAGAGTTATGCTGCTATTTTACGCTGGTATTCTGTGAGAGCGTGTTCCTTCCCCGGTCGAGCCGACCCATTCGTGCTACAACTATGCCAGTAATATAGCTGCAGCATGGCTCTACCACGTATAGAATAATAATATAATAATAATATAATGTACATGAGAAATAATATACATGAGAACAATAATTAGATAAACTTAGTAATAACAATTTGTAATGAGGGTATAAAACTTTGTTGGATGTCATTTTTAATAAGCTTACTCGAATTATAAGGTGGTGGTCAAAGTTAAAATTCCCTCAGCTAACAATCGGTTTAGGCAATTAGTTATATTTTGGACCATTAAACTCTTGATACATTTGAGAGCCTTGATACTAACTCCATCTAGACCCACACTAGTATTGGGATCCAAATAACTTATTTAATGTAAAAATAAAAGTATATATGAGTGTAAACAAAATATTATTAAGTGGCCACGAAATCTTGATAATAACGCAACGGAATCTATGCTGAAACCTATAAGTTGATATATCATCCATATATACCATATAGGTATATATATATATATATACCAAAACGGCCCCCAGTCCCCGGCGGCCCCGCTATTCCTGGCTACGGTGGCTGACCATGGTAACGGCGGGGCAGGGGGTGCTAAGAATCTCCGGTGGAGGTTCGGTTGCCACCTTAGACGACTCGACCTGGCAACGTACAACGCACGCACCCTGAGGACTGACGAGAAGATCGTGGAGCTGGAAGAAGAGATAGACAAGTTGCGCTGGCATATTATAGGATTATCCGAAGTCGAAGAGAGGGGGAGGACACGGTAATCCTCGAATCCGGCAACTTGCTCTATCACCGGGAGGGCGACCATCTGTCCCAAGGAGGTGTCGGATTTATCGTCCACAAGTCTCTCGTTAACAACGTTGTAAAGATCGGGAGTGTGTCGACGAGGGTTGCGTACCTTATACTCAGAATCACCAAACGGTATTCGCTGAAGGGCATACAGGTTTACGCACCAACCTCGGCACACCCCGATGAGGAGGTGGAGGAAATGTATGAGGATATCTCTAGAGCCATGCATTCCTCCAAAACCCAATATACGGTGTTAATGGGAGACTTCAATGCAAAACTAGGCACAAGAGAGTACGGTGAGCTGAAAGTAGGGAAATTTGGAATAGGGCAACGGAACCCAAGGGGCCAGCAGCTGGCCGACTTCATGGAGAAAGAGGGACTCTTTATGATGAACTCTTTCTTCCAGAAGCGGCCCCACAGGAAGTGGACCTGGTCGAGCTCCGACGGTTCCACAAAAAATGAGATTGACTTCATTATGACGACCAGACGACAACTGTTCAGTGATGTCTCCGTGATCGCGAGGGTGAAAACTGGTAGCGATCACCGAATGGTTAGAGGCACACTGAACCTAAACGTTAAGTTGGAGAGGTCTCGTCTAATGAAGTCAACGCTCCGTCCCCCTCGTGCTCTGTTCCAAAGTCCCGAAACCTTTCAGCTCGAGTTACAAAACCGTTTTCAGTGCCTGGAAGACTGCAATGAAGTGGACGATATGAATGACAAGCTCGTGGAAACTGTCCATGCGGTCGGAGCTAAGTTCTGCAAGACCCGCCGCAGAAGAACACAAAAACTCTCCGATCACACTCTTAATCTCATGGCTGTTAGACGGGAGATGAAGCTACATTCTTCAACAGACTTGACAGCATACAGGCATCTGAACAGACAGATCTCCAAATGCATGCGGCGGGACTTACGCAACTTCAATACAGCTCGTATTGAAGAAGCGATCGAGCGGAACCAAGGCTCCAAAGTCTTTGCCAGAGATCTGTCTGCCAGAAAGAGCCAACTGTCAAAGCTGAAGACGGAATGTGGCAGCATCGTTTCCGGGACACCTGAGATTTTGAGTGAGATTGAGAGGTTCTATGGGCAGCTGTACACATCATCGTTGGAGCCACACGCAAGTGTGAGTAACGATCCAAGAGCGAGTCTCATCCGACACTATTCCGAAGATATCCCGGATGTCAGTCTGAGCGAGATTAGGATGGCTCTCCAGCACCTTAAAAACGGTAAGGCCCCAGGCGAGGATGGAATTACAGCGGAGCTTCTGAAAGCGGGTGGAAGACCGGTACTTGAAGTCCTTCAGAAGCTCTTTAATTCCGTCCTCCATGGTGGCATTACACCGGAGGCGTGGAGCAGAAGTGCGGTGGTCTTGTTCTTCAAGAAAGGTGACAACGCTCTCTTGAAGAACTACAGACCGATTTCCCTTCTGAGCCGCGTCTACGTGCTGTTTTCGAGAGTCATTACGAATCGTCTCGCGCACAGACTTGACGACTTCCAGCCTCCCGAACAAGCCGGTTTCCGAAAGGGCTTTAGCACCATAGACCACATACATACCCTTCGGCAAGTTGTACAGAAGTCCGAAGAGTACAATTTGCCACTATGTCTGGCGTATGTGGACTATGAGAAAGCCTTTGATTCCGTCGAAATTTGGGCGGTGCTGCAGTCCCTTCAGCAGTGCCAAGTTGACTGTCGGTATATCGAAGTGTTGAAGTGCTTGTACAGTAGGGCTACGATGGCTATCCGAGTACAGAACCAGAGTACGAAACCTATCCAATTGCAGAGAGGTGTAAGACAGGGTGACGTCATATCCCCGAAACTCTTCACCGCTGCATTGGAAGACGTTTTCAAGCTTCTGGACTGGAAAGGATACGGTATCAACATCAATGGCGATTGCATCACTCACCTTCGATTTGCCGACGATATAGTCCTTATGGCAGAATCGCTGGAGGACCTAAGCACTATGCTCAATGACCTCAATAGTGTTTCCCAACGGATAGGTCTTAAGATGAACATGGACAAAACAAAGATCATGTTTAATGTCCATGTCACACCTATGCCGGTAGTTGTTGGGATCACTAAGCTCGAAGTTGTTGACGAGTATGTTTACCTGGGACAAATAGTCCGACTGGGTAAGTCCAACTTCGACCGAGAGGTCAATCGACGGATTCAACTCGGCTGGGCAGCGTTCGGGAAGCTACGACACATCTTCTCGTCAGACATACCTCAAAACCTTAAAACGAAATTGTACAACCAGTGCGTGTTGCCAGTGATGACTTACGGAACTGAGACGTGGTCCTTCACTGCTGGCCGTATGAGGAAGCTCAAGGTCGCTCAGCGAGCTATGGAGAGGGCTATGCTCGGAGTTTCTCTGCGTGATAAACTTAGGAATGAGGATATCCGCAGTAGAACCAGAGTGACCGACATAGCCCAACGGATTAGTAAGCTGAAGTGGCAGTGGGCCGGCCATATAGCTCGAAGAACCGACAACCGATGGGGAAGAAAGGTTCTCGAGTGGCAGCCTCGTACCGGTAGGCGAAGTGTAGGGCGTCCCCCCACGAGATGGAGTGACGACCTGGTAAGACATGCAGGAAGTCGATGGATGCAGGTGGCTCAGGACCGTGTTTTGTGGCATTCTTTGGGGGAGGCCTATGTTCAGCAGTGGACTTGTGAAGGGCTGTAATGATGAATGATGAATGATGATACCATATTTACACCCACATGCACACCCCTTACACATGGTAACATAGAATTTCTATGCATGGTAAGTTATTTTTTTGTACCATTTTTGGCCTGTAGTTTTATCAATACTTGTCGGATGTCGGACTTGCAACATGTGAACTCTACCAAAACAGACGTCAGATGAGCGATAACAAGTGATTAGGACTAGGCGGGCTCCTGAGTATATCCAATAAAAACAATTATCCAATACTTACGTAGACCTTTTTGTCGTCGATCTTGACAACTTTGATAGTCTTATCGACGAAATACAAGCGGCCATTGGGCACGTCTATGGCCAGGCCAGTGGCGAAGTTTTGAAGACTGTCAACGAGGACTTCCGCTTGTGTGCCGTCCATGCGAGCCTGCATGATCACTGCACGGTTGTGCCAATCTGCCCAGTACATAAGTCTGAAAAATCAAAGTATATTCCAATATGCGAGTTTTTTTTTAAATTTTGATAAATAATAATACCGACATTTTACTGGTTGTCTTCGACTACGGCTACTTAAATAGTTCCGGTAGCTATGAACTTTACAGTAGATTTCTGTACAGAGATTAGGATAATGAAACATGGGGAAATACGTACATGCATGCTCGAGGCTCATGTAACAAGATTATGTGAGAAACGGACAGACTCTAAAAAAAACCTGCTAAATGTATGGTCTTTTGACTAAATAAACTATGCTTGCATGAAAATTATTTTGGAGTTTTAATGGTGGCTGTACACGCTCGTCGACACATCACGAGACGTAGTACGTAGTAGAGTACGAGTGCGTACATGGTTTCTTCTAGGTCCATCGTAGCGATCATCCGGAGGTCAAGTGATAGCTGAAATGATGATAGATGAAGCTCTCGTGTCGAGCCGCTATGCGACGAGAGGCACGCGAAATGATGAGAGGCACTTGAGATGTCGAGACGAGCGTGTACAGCCGTCATAATATCATCATTCTCTAAACCATTTCCCATTATCTGGGGTCGGCGCAGTAAATCTTTTTGTTCCATTCCTCTCTATCAGCCGTCATTTCCATACTTACTCCTTTCATTCTCATATCACTCTTCACACAATCGATCCATCTTTTATTCGGCCTTCCTCTGCCCGTGTGTCCCTCCACATTCATATTCAACACTCGTTTTGTGACATGACTTTCATTCCTCCGCATCACATGCCCAAACCATGCCAATCTGCTTCCTCTCACCTTTTCTACCACTGGCGCTACTTTCAGGCTTCCTCTTATATACTCATTCCTTATCTTATCCATCCTTGTCACACCACACATCCATCGTAACATTCTCATTTCATTCGCATGCAGTCTATTTTCATCCTTCTTCTTGACGGCCCAGCATTCACTTCCATACATGACGACAGGTCGGATGATCGATTTGTAAATTTTCCCCTTCAGCCTTATTGGCATTCGGGGATCGCACGTTGTGGCTGTGACCTGTCGCCATTTCATCCACCCTGCGTTAATCCTATGCTGCACAGCTCTATCTATTCCGCCGTCGCCTTGAATGAGGGAACCGAGGTACTTGACATCTGAGCAGATAGGCAGTATAGCGCCATCCAACGACATGGGTACAGGACTGGAAAGACCGCCGAAATCACAGCACAGATATTCGGTTTTGGATCGGCTGATCTTCAGGCCAACACTTTCCAGCCTCCGTTGCCACCCCGTCAGTCTGCTCTGTACCTCGATGCCTTCTTCCCCGACAAGCACGATGTCATCGGCAAAGAGCATGCACCAGGGTACCTCATCCTGCAGGTCCGACGTCAAAGCGTCCATAATCAGTAGGAAGAGGTAAGGGCTCAGTGCCGACCCTTGGTGCAGCCCTACCGCCACATCGATACTGCCCGTAGTTCCCGCGGCAGATCGTACACATGTACGGGATGCTCTGTACATAGCACGGACCAACCTCACATACTTCCCAGGCATACCTTTCATCTTTAACGCCCACCACACGACCTCACGGGGAACCCGATCGTACGCCTTTTCAAGGTCGACAAAAACCATGTGCAGATCTTTATGCACGCGCTTGTACTTTTCGCACAATTGGCGTAATGCGAAAATGGCATCTGTCGTACCTCGACCGGGCATGAATCCGAACTGGTTTTGTGTTATCTCACACTCTTCTCTCATTCTTCTCTCTATTACTCTTTCCCAGACTTTCATCGTATGTGACATGAGCTTTATTCCCCGGTAACTGCTGCAGTTTTGAACGTCTCCTTTGTTTTTAAAAATGGGAACCAGTATACTACTGCACCATTCCTCAGGTATTTGTTCTTCCTGCAACAATTTACCGAAAAATAAACTCAACCACTTCCATCCATCCGCCCTCAGCAACTTCCACACTTCTACTGGTATTCCATCTGGGCCGACCGCCTTCCCATTCTTCATATTCCTAACAGCCATTTTTACTTCTTCCACACTAATTTCTCTCACTAAGCCCATATTCACTGGTGGGTTTTCAAGCATACCATTCCATTCATTCTCCTCATTCATCAATTTCTCAAAATACTCCTTCCATCGCTTCTTTATACTTTCATCGTCAGTCAAAATCCTTCCAGAATCATCTTTTATACATTTTACATGTGAAACACATCTTCCATTCCTTTCTCTCGCTCTTGCAATTTGAAAAAGTCGTTTTTGACCTTCGGGGCTTTCAAGGGACCGATATAATTTATCGTGCGCCTCTGCCCTACAAATAGCAACTTCCTTCTTCGCTCTCTTCTTACATTCTTTATACGCCCCTCTCTTACTTTTTTTTATGGATTCATTCTGGTCTTCTACGCTCTGCCATTCTTTAAAGGCATTTTTCTTTTCTCTCAAAACTTCTCTAATACTTTCACTCCACCACCACCCATCCTTATCTATCATACGCTTCCCTTTTGTTTCTCCTAACACCTTCCTTGCCACACTTCTGATACAATCAGCCATTTCCTTCCAGCACTCATTCACACTCATTCCTTCCATATCACCCATCTCTATCATCTTGTTTACAACTAGCTCTCTAAATTCACTTGCATACCCCTCCTTATGCAGCAAATGCCACTTTATTTTGGGTGGGGGACGATCCTTATGTTTGTTGAGGCGAACAGTTAAGCAGATGTCAGCCAGCAGAATTCGGTGCTGGGATACTAAGTCTTCACCTGGAAGCACTTTGCAGTTTTTTACACTCTTGATTTGGTTCCGTCTTATCAGAAGATAGTCGATCTGTGTCGCGTGGTGGCCACTTTTATAAGTAACAAGATGCTGATCTCGTTTTTGGAACCACGTGTTTACTACAGCCAGGTCGAAAGCACATGCTGCTTGCAGAAGTACTTCCCCCTCACGGTTCCGCACTCCGTACCCCCATCCACCGTGTACTCTTTCATACCCGTCATTCACTCTCCCTACATGTCCATTAAAATCTCCTCCCATATAAACATCCTCACGCACAGGTATTCCCATCATCATACAATCAAATTCCTCCCAAAACTTCTCTTTCACACTCTCTTCACAGCCTGTTTGCGGAGCATACACACTTACAACATTCACTACTTTGTTTTCAATCATTAATTTAACAACTATCATTCTGTCATTTACTCTTTTCACATCTGTCACTCGTTCTTTCATTCCACTATCTAACACAACTCCTACTCCATTTCGCTTCCCATCACTTCCACAATAATAAAACTTGTATCCCTCCCCAATCTCTCTTGCTTTATTGCCCTTCCATTTTGTTTCCTGCAAACAGGCAACATTCACTCTTCGTCGTTTCAAAACATCTGCTAACTCTCTTCCTCTTCCAGTCATCGTACCTATATTCCAGCTTGCAAACCTCACTCTGACATTCTTCTCTCTCCGGGCTCGCCTCTTACGTCGCATCCGCTCCGTAAGGTGCGACAACCCTTGCCCACTTCCCACAGGAGCCGGGTGCTGCCCCTGCGCGTCGCCTGCGGGGTACGCCCTAGCCCTGTCATATGTCCCACAACTCGTACTATTCATTTACTGCATGGGATTTGGCAAAATTTTTACAGTCGGCCGCCTGCCTGACACCAACCCTCTTTGGGTATGCTATTGCTGGTAGAGGAAGCTACCATTTTGGGAAAAGGAAAAAGAAGTTTGGGGGTAGGAGCATAGGTGTAAAGATACTGTTATCTCGGCAGGAAAGGTATGAGAATAACAGTAGCTCGAGGAGCCGGGGTCGCGTACCCGTATTCCATACCAGGATCACCGGAAAGGTAGACCAGCATGAGAACCCCCTGACGTACAGCCGTCATAATACATCTCGTGTTATTCATTTCGCTTAAAGTTGCGTTTAAATTAGGTTAAATGATGATATTTAATTCTAACTTTCAAATCAATAATGTTTTTTAGTTCTGTTAACGTAGAAGCCGATATCATACTCAGTTTTGAATGTTTATCGCTAAATGGTGGAGTAATCACAGTCCTACGTTAATATGTAAGATAAGTTAAGAATAAGAGCGCGTTCCGACAACACGCACCCGCTACGCGCACGCCACGCGTGTCAGCATCTGCGTCTAACTCGCTTTGAAATTTGTTGCATATAATTTGAGTCTTATGACAAATCAATAAATCTGAAAATGTATAAAAAGCGCGGGCGTAGGGCGTGGCGGGGCGGGTGCAAAGCGTGTGCGGGGCGAACGCGGGGCCTGCGCGGAGCGGGAACGAGGCGGGCGCGTGGCGTGGGCGAGGCGTGTGCGGTGCGGTGAACGTCGATAAATGCAATTTCAGATTTATTGATTTGTGATAAGACTCAAATTATATGCAACAAATTTCAAAGCGAGTTAACCGCGGGTGCTGACACGCGTGGTGTACGGGTGGCGTGCGCGTAGCGGGCGCGTGTCGTCGGAACGCGCCCTAAGTCTGTTTAATCAAAGCCAACCGGCCAACCACTATCCTTTAGTCGATCGTCCGTCATCTATTAGATACGCACAAGTCATTCACGTACTATTTATTCGAGTCACTCTTTGCTTATGACTTACGGGACACCCTCATAGATATATGAAGGTCTCTCCTTGACAAGATTTGGTAAGATGTTCTTTTGTTTTATTTTATTTTATTTTATTTTATTTTATTCCTACCACTAAACACCGAAATGTTAATACTGATGACATATTATATCACGATCTGACCGATACACAGTGACCCCTTCGCGTCGTCGCAGGGAACTCCCCTAATGAAATCTTATGGCAGCTATACACGGTCGTCGAGACACCACGAGACAGGCCGAGTACGAGTGAGTAAATGGTGTCCTCGTAGCGTCGCGTCGCGTCTCGCGGCACCTGTTCGCTCTCGGAAGCGTGTCGGTTTTCTGCGCTCGAGTTAAAGGGTCTTGTGAGTCTCGCGATGAAAACGGGAGCGCACCTGTACACACTCGTTCGTTTAGTTGCCGCCAAACTGCGTTCGCGTGAAGTATGCATTCTGAGTGTGACAATGATGTGGTCTAACTCTGAGTTAGAGTTTTTGGAAGCCTACCAAGGGGAATCACTATTATGGAATCTAAAGGATAAGCAATTATTACACGACGTTTGGTTGCAGATAAGCAACGATTTATTCCTTGTGCGGTGTTTGTTTCGAATCGAGGAATCCCGGGCAAAGACAATAATTTATTATTGTCTATGCTGTAATATATTTAAGAACTATTTTGACTTTGTAATACAATATTTTATGTGTTGTAACTAGTTAATATTCCGTTCTTTGAATTAAAAAGTTGACGTGCGATTTTCATTTACCACTTAAAATGAGATTTGGTGATATTTTGACGAATCCGTCCATTTTGAGCTTACGTAATTAATGAACGGCGGTGTAACACTTGGAAAGCACGTAAAGCCGATGACCCTGTACCTGATCTCTCTCCGGTTGTGTCGGCTTGCCGTCACATCGGACTATAAGAATAAGGGAATAAAGGGTGCACCTATGCTTGCTTGTGTATGCCACTTAGGTGCTATAGTCATGTCCTGCGCAAACGTCTAGTCTGTATAAAAACTGGCCGCCGTGTCCGAAATTCGATTTGGAGGGCACTATTATAATTAATGGACGCCCCCCTATACAAGATAGTTATAAATGTAACCAACAGAATTGGCACTAACCCGTGTTTTACATCCAACGTGAGGAATTTGGGATGGCTGGTCTCCGTATGTATTGTGGCACAGAGTGAGCCGTCGGCGCGGCAGACGAATATGCTACCGCGCTCGGCGTCGCTGAAGTAGATGTTCCCGCCCAGCCAGTCCACAGCGATGTCGCCAGGGTCCTCCAAGCCCAGCCCTACTAAAACCTGATAGAAACATTGTTGATACATTTTCTATTTCCTATTTTGTAGTGGTAGGTCAGGAGATCCCTCTGAGTGGAAGCTGGTACCTTATTTTTTATAGGATAAGGGTGACAAACTAGCACACAGTCCACCTGATGGTAAGTGGTTGCTGTGACCCAAAGGCATCTACATACATCCTGTATTACGAATCAAAATGCAGATGTATTGTCAGCCGTGAGGACTAAGGTGGAATGCCTCGTTTCCAATAAAAAGGGTCTCCGGTTCTCTGCACTCACCATACGAAACAGCAGCGTTAAGCGGCTATTTTACGCTGGTATTCTGTGAGAGCCTGGTCGTTCCCCGGTCGAGCCGACCCATTCGTGCTACAACTATACCAGTAATATAGCTGCAGCATGGCTTCTACCACGTAAAAAACCTTATAAGCTATGATGATACATTTGGGAACACTGTTGGCTTAGTTGATAGTGACCCTGCCTTCGAAACGTGAGAACCCAGGTTCAAATATTGGCTGGGGTATACATTTGTGTGATGAGCTTAAATATTTTTCTCGGTTTTTGGATGTTCGTGGTGTGTTAATGCCCCGCGACACGGGGAATACTAAAGTGTGAATGTGATTGTATTATCGATAAGTTGTGTTGTTGTTTTATTAAGGGGTCCGTAGATATCATGGTACAATCTCTTAGAGTTCTGACATTAAAAAAGGTTCAGAAAAGCTAGCTTAGATGCTAAGCATTAGATTCTCTCCTCTTCCGAGGAGGCCCTACCAATGTGCGGCGAAAGTGGAATCTATTACCATTATCGGTATTAGTCAGTGTGGGTCCGACATAACCCGATATAACTAGGCATTTCCTCATGTACAGTGACTAAGCGTCCGCTGTTAATTTCACAATATGCAAACAGCCTGCGTTCGGTCCTCACCCGCACTAATTAAATGTTGTTGGATATATTTTGATTACCGTAAAAAAAAATATAGCGACTTACCTCCTTAGAATCGTGTATGTTGTCCAGCTGAGCCCTGACTATAGACTGATGGCCTTGCTCTGTCTCCACCCAGTACAGATGGCTGCCGTCGTAAGAAACGCCGTGAGCCTATATTCATAGATAATACCAATAATGTTTTTATTATTCCGGTATAAAAGACAGATAAAAGGAAAAGGTTTCACTAGAGCCGTCGCAACTCAGATAAGCGCTCGGTTTAAAATTTCATCAGCAGCGCCAATCAATTTGTTAATCTCAATATTAAGCTCCGGTTTCCACCTGCTCGATGGTGAAGGAAAACATGAGAACATAGAAGGAAGCCTACATGCCCGAGAAATGAAAATTATTCAGACATGTGAAGTCCTATAATACGCACTGGAGCATCGCGGCGGCCTCTTCCCTGCTCCAGAATGCTTCCAGGAAAGTGATTAGATCTGTGCATCAACAGCGAAACCTGTGTAGAGCACAGTTACAGCACAGACCTCCTCCCATTTCTAAGAGGGATTTGAGCAATTAGTCCAACGGTCTGTACCAACACGTGTGGTGCGGACTTCACATGTCCTACGTAATATTTTATTTCTAAGACTTTTAAACAATATTGTTTTATCATGAGATCATCTAATGACTTTAAACGATCATCTTCTTTCTCAATTCTATACAAAACACTCATTCGTTCACAATTAGAATACGTTATACCAATATGGAGTCCCTTCTACAAAACAATATAATCATAAATTGGAAATGATCCAAAAGAAATTTTTACGCAATATCTGTTATAAGTGTTACCATTCCAGAATTCCATACGTACAATTATTCAAACGTTATAAACTACTAAGTTTGAAATCTAGTCGATCACTCATTATGGCCATGATGCTGCATGGGTTTTGTAATAACAGGTTTGACCGTAGTTATATCACCAATAAATTATATTGAACCGAGAACTATAATTCTCAAATGCATTAAACATAAAACAAATCATATAGTAATATTACTTTATGGGCATTGTTGTGGGTTACACGTTAAGTACTCCTTTATAAATTAATTGTCTTGTATAATGGCGGCTGTACATGCTCGTCTCGTCGCGTAGAGGCTCGACACGAGAACACACCATACATATACACACTCGTTGTATCACTTGAACTCCGGATGCCCGCTGCGACAGACCTGCGACCTGATGAAACTGTTGCTGCGTATTGCCTTTGTGCTATTAGTTATTACATTTTTTATACATTTACCATTAAAAGAAAATTAATATGATATGACAAAGAAAAAAATAGTGGAGAAAATGACAGACAAAATGGCATCGCGCGGACGTTCAACAGGCAAGTCTGCCAGACCGACTGTGACGGTCGTACACTACAATATCAAACTTTGCACAGACCTATAGTAGCGAAGTCCGGCAGGAAATCAGGAATGTCTACAGAAATGCCCGCGGGCATGTCCGTCAAGTGAATTCCCCGCTCAACAGAACCATGTAAATACCTATATTTTATTTATTTAACGAAAATTTTTATTTAACAATATTGAACCTCGCGCTATCGTTTTCTTCACGAGACTCGCGACTCACGAGACCCTTTGCGTCGAACGCAAAATACCGACACGCTTCCGAGAGCAAACGTGGGCCGCGAGACGCGATGCTACACGACGAGGGCACTATGTACACACTCGTACTCGGCCTGTCTCGTGGTGTCTCGAGGAGCGTGTACAGCCGCCATAACATTAATGTGTAACTGTGTTTTTATTGTCCCAATAAAAAAGACGCATGTTTTATTCACAATTTTTTCCTTCTACGTCGAGCTCGTGGTAAATCAGCGCTGCAAAAAACTGCAACTAAGAATTTCATTGGTGCCGGTGAGGATCAAACCCGGATTACTCATCTATTATTTAATCTGTGCTCGCGTACCGTAAAATTTACAGCTAGCTAGCGTAAAGATCCCACGGCCTTGGGAAGTGTGCATCTGTATATATATGCTGTTAATTTCATTTTTAACATTAATATTTGGACTAGAGTAAATTTAAAAGTACTATGTAAAATATAAATAAGGATTCTAACTATTGTTATTATTTTTTATTAATAAGGGCTAATAATCTTACATTCACCAGATGTCGCTAGTTGTGACTGGGGTAAAGATTTTTGTTACATAGTGTCAGTTAATTGAGAAATTCGTTTTAAATAATAGTTTATCAGTTTCCAAAGTATTCTATTAATAAACAACTTAATGCGTCAGTGATTTGATCTTAAATTTTTTGTACTTTATAACTATTTTTTTAATTAAGTTATATTTATTGTTTGGTTTATTCATTTCTAATCTAATTCATATAAAATATAACTAATAATACAGAAAGAAACATCAACCTTTACATTTTTCTAAGAAATTATCTTCCCCTCAATGAAATCTATCAAATATTTAACCTCATTGTAAAGTGGCGCCGGCCTGGTGGCAGAAACAGTTGTGGGGTTGTGGTCCTCAAATTTTTCATTACCCAATAATAAAAAATAGTTTACCTGTTTAATTTTTGAAATGAGAGTGACTTGCTCCTTCGACTTTATTGTCACATATCTGATGTCATTGCGTGTACTAAAGAAGAGCAACGCGTCTGGTCCTGTTAAAGAAAAAATATATTCTAATTTTCATAAATAATAGGTCGGGGAAAAGTTTCTTCGAATTTTATAAACAAATTCAAGACTTTTTTTTTCAATATATTAAATAATAAAGTTTAATATATGTCCTATTTTGTTCGATAACTTGTTCCCATCTTGTAGGTAGTGACATAATCCCGTTGCTATAGAAATCTTGGGATATTTGATCAAAAAAATGCGCCAAGCAGTTTTGACAGTCCTCTATTGATGCTAACTTAATACTACCCAAAGAATTCTGAGGAGACCGAAACAGGTGAGTGGCCAAAGATGTATGTTGGTCAGGCGTTATCATAATGAAAGACCACTCCTTTTCTGTTCATCAATTCCGGTCGTTTTTTCTCTATTTCTTGTTGAGTCTCATTAGTTGTTGGCAGTAGAGATCGGAATGGATGGTTCTACACGGCGGTGAAAGCTTATAATAAAGGATACCCTTGCAATACCACCCAGCATCACCTTATTGCGTTTCCATCTAGGTTTCGCTAGAGTCTGTGGAGCTTGACTACCCTTTGACCATGATTTATTTAAATTTTTATTTTCAAAAAAGGGGTTTTGTCACACAGTGACTATGTCACCCCCGTAAAGTATACACAAATAATGACAGGAAATTAACGATTGAAGACACAATAATATCGACAGTAATACAACTACATACAATCAAGTTAAATTTAACGACAAAAATATATATTATGTTGTAATTCAATCCGGTGATATGGTTACACTCATAGGTGGATAATATTACATCTTTCTAATCTCATATTATACTATACATATAAATAAAGTTTGATTATCATTTTGGCCTCTTGACAAAGTGGGAAGGATAAAATAGAATCTTTTTCGCACTTTCTTGTCGTAGGTACTTTTCATCAACAGTTATCAATCTTTTCAAAAATGGTTCGGTTTCATTACGTTTCAATAGAGAATCGGAAATGAGTACACGATTCATTAGGTTTCTTTCAGTGAGTTCATGTGGTATCTAAATATCAAGCTTTTTTGTATAGCCAGACTTTTCAAATGGGTCAAAACTGTTCTGTGGTCAATCCTCGATTCCTTGGCTATGTCGGAACTACTCATATGCCGATCTTACTCTACTTTTTCAATGGCGACCAGAGCGAGCTGGATCTTTGACATCAAAATTACTGGACTGAAAACTCTTGAACCAACTTTGTGCTACTATTACTGACACTCATCGATATATATATGTACTACGTACTAGATTTCACATTCCGAACATACACTATGTTCAACTGAACTGTACTGCAATCCGTACAGTGTGTCATTTAGTGTGGTTTCAATTTACTAGTTAGTCTGTGGTTTCAATGCGCGACTCTTCTATTTCCTGCGCATTTTCCCTTTTTTGTAGTAAAACTTCAGAATGTATCGAATTTCTTCGTTAGATTTACTGATTTTGGCGGACAGAAAAAGGAATTGCAAAATGGCGGGAAAGTGTTTTTACTTTTTATTTTTCTTTTCCTTAATGTCATATATGTATTGATATTAAAATCAGCCAGATACAAACAGTAAAACCACAGAGATTTTTCTTCAATTTTATACAAACTAAATACGAAGACACTTTTCCCGCGACCTATTATTGACCTATATGGAATAAAACACAATATAATACTAATTTTTTGTGGTAACTCAGAGGCAAAGTACTAGCGCGTGCTATGTGCACTCTGCAACGGATGCAGCCAGTTTATCAAAAGAGCGATACTACCGGTCACATGATACCGTTTCTTTACTCATGTGCCACGGCGTCGCACCGCAATTCAGCGTCTTCCAATGCAGCCTGCGGGGGCTCCGGAAGCTCAGACAATCAGACCTAACTTGTAACTCATATTGTAATGTCGTTTAATTAATACATTTTTATTTTTATTTTTAAAAAGTTTTTGTCCCTCTTGGAATCATAAAACAGATTTCTATCGCTTCTACAAAGGTTAATAGGATTTTTTTATATAGGTAGTATTGAAATAGATAAAGGTTAGGTTGAATTTATTGAGAGCTATCACACACAGCTGCACGAGAAAAAGTCATACCTGGTGCGTAGCAGAGATAGCCCAGCGCGTCCTTCACGTAGCCGTGGTCGCACTGACACACGAAGTGTCCATTTTTGTTCTCGCATGAATGGGAGCACTGCGGTCTGGCTTGTTGACAGTCGTTCACATCCTAAACATAACATTGGTTTCTTTATAGAATATGGTCAGAAATTACCACATCTGATGGTAAGTGTATGTTGCGGCCCATAGACATCATTTCTAACCTCGATTAAGAATCAAAATGCTACTAAGACTAAAAAGGGTCTCCAGTTTTCTACACTCACCATACAAAACACAGCAGCATTAAGGTGCTATTTAACGCTGGTATTCTGTTAGAGCGTGGTTCTTCCCCCGTTGAGCCGACCCATTCGTGCCACAACCATAATGTATCTGCAGCATGGCTCTACCACGTCAAAATTCCTTATTTTTGGTACATATACAGTCATGTTACAATGAATTTTTTACAGCGTAAAAATAAATATGTATAATGTATTAATAACTATACCACAACGCCACATAAAATTAAAGTGACAAACGTACTTAAAGCCACTTCCTTCCACATTATGTAGGTAAGAGTGACAAACGAAAATCTTCTTCCCCTTTCCCATCAAGCCGATCCGTTAGCTATCTAAATAATTAATTAAATGATGTATCAATACAATCTAAGCATATAATTTGTACCAAACATTATCAAAATTTGAAATCATTTTTTGTAGCACTTGCTGACCACAATCCAATAGAGTTGAAATTAGGTTCAGTAACATTGATGATAATGCAATAGTGAGCTAATCTGACGATGGACCCGGATGCTGGCCCTAGCAACGTCTATAAAAGTTTTTTTTAGTAGACTTTATATTTAATTATTATGCAATAAACACCTATTACTTTTAAACATTGAAATTAAAACATTACTTTGTATTTACAACACAAAAAGTAAATAAACATGCGTGAGTGTCGTGGAACGCTTGGTTGGAACGTAGTTCCTTACGTAGTATATTATTATTGATAAACGTATTATTGTTTAACAAATACAAATAAACAGATTACTACAAATAAACAGATTACAAACGTCTATTAAAATGAAGCGTCATTTAAGATAAAATAATATTTTTTTCATAGCAAGATAAGAAGAAGTGCGAGGGTGATAGATATTATTCCATATCGCTTCCTTGTAGCTGCCATGGCCGTCTACACTACGTCAGAAGGGGTCGTGACGGGAAAAATGTTACACTTTCCGGTCCACGTCTGGTAAGGGACTACGTTCCAAAAATAATAATCAGTTACAAATAAAAAACTAAAAATGCTAAAAAATAAAAGCAATGTCCGACAAACTGTAGAATAAAAAGTTACCATCCATGAGGACAGAGTTACCTCGCACTGATGCGTTGTGTAGTTATACTGCTGCAAGGAGTAGGAGTCCAAGCAGACGCAAACTGGGCCGTCACGCTCTGGACTACAAGCGGTATTGTTACCACCACACGTGAAATTTGAACACATTATGTGCCCTGAAAAGTATTCGGAATTGAGCTGACGTTTTCTTCAGCTGCTAATTTCAATCTATGTAGATATACTACATAGCAAGTGCGACTGTTGTTCATATGGTAATACAGGATCAGGCTTAAGGCAGTTATTGGGTTTTTCTACCAAGAAATTCTTGGTAACAGCTCTTAATCATGAACTTAACACCCCCGTGCCTCAGAAAGCAAGGAAGGCCATTAGTTCTACGCCTGATCTCCCCCGGTCGTGTTGGACTGTCGTCCTGTCGGAATATGAGTGCTGGCGCACACAATCGTGCGCTATTATCCTGTCCTGCGCAGATACCTAGTCCTCGCCGAGTGTCCGCCATGAGCGAAATTCGGTCTGGAGGACATTATGTTTGGGAAGGGACGCCCTAGACGAAGATTTATCGACCAAATCGATACATTGAAAATGGGCCAGATTAGGAGTACCCTTAACCGACGTGCGTGTATGCGTAAATATATGGATTGTATGGATGTAAAGGAGGCGAGAGAGGTGTGGTCCGTAGAGAGGTTCGTAGTCTCTGCCTACCCTTCTGGGTGACAGGCGTGAGTGTTTGTATTGTATTGTATTGCAAATGAATACGGGTCAATGTATTTTCAATGGTGCGTTGACTGATAGCATGTTAGCATGTGGTGCAAGAGAAGCTGGCATTTCCGGAGTCCGGAAAAATAAATAAGAAAAGGTATGAATAAAATTCAGAGTTCAGACAGACACTTGTACCGTACAAGCTGTATGATCCAGGAATTCAGAGCATCAGAAACAACACACTTGACAAGAAAGAATAGAAAGCAATGCCAGGAGTGATCTAGGCTGTATTTTATCCGGAAAACTTGGAATTATTTTTAATGTTTTCAAGGGTAACTTGTTTTTTCTACCGAATTCAAAAAAAGAGGTACTTAATTCGACTGTATGTTTCTTTTTTTTTATGTTTGTTACCTCATAACTTTTTTCTGGGTGAACCGATTTCGATGATTCTTTGTTATTTGAAAGCTGGTACTTATCATGTGGTCCCATATAAATATAATCGAGGTCTGACTAATAATTTTTGAGTTATCCTTAATAATTTATATGGAAGTTGGTTGTACAAAATTTTTAATTTTAAATTATAATAAGTATGTACGTTTTACTATCTTCGGCTTCATCGCCACTTTCCATCAGGTGAACTACATACCATAAGCAATGTCTTATAATAGTTAAAAAACAAATAAAAAATTAAATAGATTAATGAACCCGAGCAATAGTTGTCGCTGAAAATCGTACTTATGTATTACATTTAGCGACAAAATTGGCTACTTACACTTATCACAAAATACTCCTTCATCGCTGCCATCTCTACAGTCCTTAATACCATCGCACATTTGATCCTGTGACAGACAGAACGAGTGATCCAGACATTTGTAGTTTCTAGGACCCAATCCTGTGAATTCCCGGCAAGCAAGGCCATCGTTAACAGTATGGGGAGCAAGTGCATGCCCTGAAATAGAAACCATTGACCTATTGTACTGCGATTTTAGAGCTGATATAGCCGTGGTAACTCAAGGACTAAGCGCTTACTGTAAATTTCACAGTACACAAGCAACTAGTGTTCGATCTCCACCAGCAAGAACAAAATTGTTACAATTTTATACATATATTTTAATTATCATTGTTGTAAGTAATAACTTCACTGACTTTGTATATTGATAGACTTTGCTAATGTTAAATGAAAACTAACAACCTAACACTGTAAATTTTACACATCGAATATCGGTAGGACATGTTGATACTAATAACACTAACACTAAGAATATATCTCTGTCCATGCAATGTACATCTCACACATATTTTAGTAAATAAAATATCTTGTCTTATCTTTAACTGCTGATTTGTAAGCATCGTGGAAAAAAACCTGGATGTCTAAGAAAAAAAATAATGTCCGTCAACACGCATTGGGGTAGCGCGGCGGTCACTTCTTGTACTTAAACCCTCTCAAAAAAAGAGCCCCCTTTTCCCAAAAGAGGGTCGCTTCCGATTCGGCAGAGAGGCCTAATAAGCCAACGCCGTACACAAGAGTGGAGTTTAGTGAGTATACTTAGGGGTTAGGATAGTTAGGCACAGCTGTGAGTCTCACATAACCACGACACACCGGCTGTCGTGGTATGCATAAAGCATTCTCCACTTCCTCGCGTATCAGGGTAGCCCTTTCCAATTGCTTCTGGGCGCAAAATACCTTGGCATAGAGCTAGAATTAAAGGCTAAATTTAGCAAATGACAATTGTAAAATGTTGCGGCCTTGCTTTATAACCTATATACTATGACGAGAGCCCCCCCCCCCCCCCCCCTATAGTTTCTTATCCAAGGAGCTTCAAAAAAAATTATTAAACCCTAATAAGTTGATCAGAACTATATTCGACATTAACTGGTGTAATATTATTAGAACTACGATAGAAATAGAAATAGGTAAGTATGCTTATAATTTGATTTTATTATTATTTTACTCACTACAAGTTTTCTCGATATCTTCGTCGGTCCGATCGTCGCAGTCGTAAGTGCCATCACAGGTCCACAGGTTCGAGATGCACCGCTTACCGTCGCACACAAAACCTTTGCAAGTTGACTGCAACAAATTATTGATATTTAGTCTTTAATTAATTATGTCCTTCTACCCGATTTCAACCAATGCAGCACGGGGTTTATACACACAACCATTAACTCGTTCTTATCGATAGATTTTTACTGGTAGAGGTACTCTGCAGCTATATTACAGATGCAGCTCGAGTGATTTCAACTGGAGAAAGATCGTGTGATCTTTCCGAAGATCTTAAGGATTTTAAAGAAAAGTATAATACATCTAAGTATTTGGTAGCTAAAGTGTTTAACAAAATAGATCTACTAAGAGAAAAAGTAAAAATTAGTAAAGGATCACTTAAGAAAAAATTAAAAAAAACATTATACAGGATTGCTAATAGAACTATATACGAGTACATTGTATTAGATTAAAACGTTACAATATAATATATAAGTACTAGATATTTAATTCATATAATTAAAGTTACATGTATATAAAGATATATAGTTAACATAACAACAAGATGTCATAGGTTTATATATTACTACATTATATAATTGTGTATTATTGTGCCCAATATTAGTAGTACTATAATGTGGTATGACTTATCATTAATCTATGCGTAAAAGTTTGGCGAGTTTAGAATTAAGTAACACCACTGTATCATAAATTCATTAATAAATAAATAAATTAAAAAAAAAATGTAAAGCTTCTGTGTTTTCTGTTGCAAATGACAAGAATCAGTGTCCCTTTATAATGGTAACGAAACATTTCATCTTATAGTCGTAACAGAGGTAACTGAGAAGAGTTAGCTAGGTGTGGGTTCATTAGGTGTTCTGTGTGCTCGTTTGTCAACTGTATTTGTTGAAAAAATGCAAAGTTAAAGCAATCTAATACACGAAAACACTCACGTACATACTATAGGCTAGGTATAACTGTAGCAAGAGGTAAATAGCTGTAGGAGACTTATGGTGGCCACTCACGGTCAGTTAAACTGAACAGTTTAACTGATGTACATCCAAAAACTGACCGTGAATGCGAAATCTGAAGTTGAAATTTTTAACTGAAGGCAACACACGGATTTTTTCGGGCGTGCTGTCAGTTAAACTGCTCAGTCGAACTGACGTACATCCAAAAACTGATTGTGAATGTAAAATCATAAGTTAAATTTTTTAACTGACGGCAACTCACGTCTTTTTCCGGGCGTACCGTAATCCGCTGGCTTCAGTTCGTTTCCATTATTGGTAAGTACATACTTTCTTAGTAGCTACTTACATTATTTGTATGCTGTTTAGATTTTATATTATTTTACATATTTAGAGTTGTTTTGACGGAGAATGGAGACCAAGGTGATTGTAATGATGTCACCTTCCTTATGGTGGACTAAGAAGGTGGGTAAAGGATCTTAGTGATGCTACTACGTAGAACTATCGTGTTTGGACTCATTTTCAAATAGGTAAATGGAGACCTAGATGATTGTGATGATATAACCTTTATGTTGGTGCAATCCGAAGGTGGTATAGGATCTCAGTGACGACACTAGATAGAATGACTGCGTTTGAACTCATTTTAATGGGCTCATAAAGACCTAGGTGACTTTTATAACCTCACCTCTCTGATGGTGCAATCCGAAGGTGGGTACAGGATCTCAGTGACGGCACTAAGTAGAATGATCGTGTTTGAACTCATTTGAAAAGGGTTTATAAAGACCTAGTTCAATGTGATTATAATACCTTCAAGATGGTGAACTAAGAAGGTGGGGCAAAAGATAAAAATAAATAATACATTTATTAAAGAAATAAAATTTACAATAATGAATAAAATTATCATAATATCTGACCCATTTCTTAAAAGTGTCTTAATACTAACCTTATCATGAATAAAAATATCTTTTGAAGTGTTAATATATAGGAAACGGTATTTATATATATTTACGGAACGGATTTCATTTCTCGATCGACGGGGCTGCTGCCGTGCGCGTTTAGTTGGCGTGACTCCTATAAATTAAAAATATAATTTCCTATCTATTAACTAGCTGTTCCCCGCAACTTCGCCCGCGTGTAATTTATTACGATTGGATTTCATGGGTTTTAATGTTTTTGCGCGGAACCCTAATTCTTTTTCTAAATTAAAAGTAGCTTAAGTTCCTCCTTATAATATCAGCTATCTGCTACTGAACGTCTCGTCAAAATTGGTTCTGCCGATTCGGAGATTAGCCGGGACATACAGACAGAAAGACACACAAAAATTTTAAAAATTGTGTTTTTGTTATAAGTACCGTATGTACTTTCATATGTACTTAGTAAAAACTGTTATTTTGACAATACAAACAGACACTTCAATTTTATTTATTTGTATAGATATATATTAATATACAGGAAATGATATAAAATAAGATTTAGATATTATTAAATATCATTTAATTTATCTATATATATGATATTTTATAGGAGTCACGCAAACCAAACGCCCACAGCCACGCCCCACGTTTGAACTAGGGCTGTTGACAAAATATCGATATATCGAAAAATCTATTTTATTATTTAGAAACATCGATATTTATTTCTAATATTTTTGGACGACATATATTGATATATAAGTTTGATATTGAAATATATATATATACGACAGTCGATATATTTTTTAAAATAATTTAATATTTTATTTTTTCAAGTAAATAATTTAATCTACAACACCATCGTAAACTTAAATCCTAATCCTTGATGGACCCAATCTACTATACTTTATTTACACTATATTATGTTTTTCATTTTTCCCCAGTTTATTTATTTGCTTATTATCTTAAAAAGAAATGTAATCTTGTATAGTATATCTCTGTGATATTAAAATAAATATAATCTATTAAACTTAGTACTACTTTACTTACTGTGAGTTTTGGCAGGAGCTTGATCATCGACGGATGTTTGCTCCTGTTTTATCGTTTAAATAATCGTTTGAAGTGGATTTTATCAAAGTGATGCGATTATGTGTATTAAGTGTCTACGCATGTAAGCTATTAGAGAAAGCGACGAAATAAGTGCTTCGATGTTGGTATAAGCCTCAAGTTATTTTAATCGCTTAGGCGTCTTATGATTTACTTCCGTGCTATCAGAAATAGCTGTTAAATATTTGATTTCTTCAGCTGCATCCGTAGCATCTGAACGAATTACTTCTACAATCAATCTTTTAGTGCCTAATAATTGCAGTATTGAAACAGCTGAACATATAAAATAACGATTATTTTTGAAAACTCTTATTGAAAAATATTGGTAAACATAATTGTCTTATTAACAATAATTAAAGTTAAAGTTACAGACGTCCCAATGCTGGGCACTTCTCAGCTGGGCAGGCCTCTTTTAATTTCTGAGAGGGTTTTAGGGCAACGTCCGCCGCGCTGCCCAGTGCATGTTGGCGAACTTCACGTTTTTTGGAAATTTTTATTTTATTTCTCAGACACGCATGTTTCCTCACGATGTTTTCCTTCATCGTCGAGCACGTGGTAAATCAGCACTTAAAATTGCAATTAACAATTTCATTGGTACCGGCTGGGATCGAACCCGGTTTGCTCGCGTACTGTGAAATTTACAGCGAGCGCTAACCATCTGAGCTACCACGGCTCATTAATAATTACTAAGAATTATAACCTAACATTTTCATTCATTTATAATTTAATTTGTTTAATAAATTTACTAAATTATAAACTGTCTAAATCATTTTTAAGCAATAAGCATCGATATATCGCTTATGTTTTCGATTTATAAAAGTCCGATATTGATATATTTATAATTATCGATATATTGAAAATCCGATATTTTAAAAATATTAACAGCCCTAGTTTGAACTGATCAGTTGGAATGATCAGTTGAACTGACCGTGTGTGTCGAAGTTTTTTTGGATTAAATCCGTTTGAAGTCATCAGTTGAACTGATGTCAGTTTAACTGACCGTGAGTGGGGACCATTAGAAATACATTTAATAGCCGAAAACCGGCCCAACAGGATCGTCACGACCGGGGAATGACCACGCTTTTACAGTACCTGGTGTACTGTCGCTTCTAAGGTTTCGTTAAATAGCACTTGCTGTGTTCCGTATGGTGTGTATGACGTGTACATGACTCATCACCTTCGATTTTCCGACGAAATAGTATTTTTGACAGAATCACAGGAGGACTTCCGTACTATACTCAATGACCTCAGTATTTTATTTCAACGGATATGTCCTAAAACAAACATGGACAAGACAAAGGTCGTGTGTAACGTTCATGTCAAACCAGTGCCGGTAGATGTTGAGAGCACTATACAATCGAAGTTGTTAACGAGTAACGAGTATGTTTACCTAGGACAAATTGTCAGAATGGATATCCGCAGTGGAATCAGAGTAACCGACATAGTCCAACGGAGAAACAATGGGCCGACTACATAGCTCGAAGAACCTACGCCGAAGGGGACGAAAGGTTCTCGAAGTCAAGTGGGCGACGTGTTGGGCGGCCCACCCACTGGGTGGAGTGATGACCTAAGATAAGAGAAGTCGATTGATGCAGGAAGCTCAGGACAGTACTTTGTGGCATTCCTTGTGGAAAGTCTACATTCAGCAGTGGACTTGTGATGAGCTGCAACTATAATAACGATGATAGAAATTACTTTTGTGCCTTTCTTCCGATGAGTTTACAATTAATTTAAAATTTTCTTTCTTACATTTTAGCATATTCTTTTATAATATCCTACGTTACGTGGTAGAGCCATGCTGCAGTTATATTAGTAGTATAGTTGTAGCACGAAGGGGTCGGCTCGACCAGGGAAGCACCACGCTCTCACAGAATACCAGCGTAAAATAGCAGCTTAACACTGTTGTGTTTCGTATGGTGAGTGTAGAGAACAGGAGACCCTTTTTACTGGAAATGAGGCATTCCATCTTAGCCCTCACGGGTGACAACGCATCTGCATTTTGATTCGCAAAGGAGGACAAATGTAGATATCAATGGGCCACAGCAACCACTTACTATTAGGTGGACTGTGTGTTCGTTAGTCACCATATCCTATAAAAAAAGACTGATTTCAGTTACGGCGGCCAGTCTCAACGGAGACCAGCCTTCTACGCAGAATTATAGTGCCCAAGTGTATGCACAAACACAGGTGCGTTCTCTATTCCTCCACTCCGAGATTGTCCGATGGGACCGGAATGTAGTCCGACACGACCGGGGAAAATCAGGTTCAGAAACAATGGCGTTACGGTACTTACCACGAGGATGAAACACTGCTAACTTCCCGGCTCCGGACTGCTAAGTCCAATAATTGATTTTGGTTCGTCCCAGGATTTGAATCTGGTACCTCATGGTACCGATTCCCGAACGATGAGATCAAAAAGTGTATTATTAGTGCTACATTAGTACTGCAGTACTTACTCAGAGTTGGCAGGAGGTCTGTAACTTTCTTTTATAGGATAGGGTGACAAACGAACACACAGTCCACCTGATGGACAGTGGTTGCTGTGACCTGTGACCCATAGACATCTACAACTATCCTCACTAAAGAATCAAAATGCAGATGCGTTGTCACCCGTGAGAACTAAGATGGAATGCCTCTTTTCTAGTAAAAGGGTCTCCGGTTCTCTACACTCACCATACGAAGAAACACGGCAGCGTTAAGCTGCTATTTTACGCTGGTATTCTGTGAGAATGTGGTCCTTCCCCATTCGTGCTACAACTATACTTCTAAGAGTCTTCTAAGAGAAAGTAAGAACTATACTTCTACCACGTAACTTGGTACTAGACTAGTGATAGGCTTATTGGCTGTAACCAATTTTCACTTTTGACTAGTACATCTATGTAGTTAACCTTCAAAAATCGACAAACCAATTTAAGACAAAAATACTTACGTTCTTATCCGTCTCCAGTAGTGCAGTACAATTGATTTCATCGCTCCCATCCTCGCAATCGGTGTATTTGTTGCACACCCACACGTCGGGAATGCATCGCTTCTTATCCACACACATGTACTGGTTCGTCTGTTTGCAGAGCTCCTCGTCGGGGAGGTGGTTCGCTGGGTGAAGGATATGGTGATTAATTACTCCGAATAAACCTAAGAATCGCGCAGATTGTGTTCTTTATTATAATATGAAAATCACAAATAAGTCAACAGTCATTCCGTGTTGGTGATCCACAGATACTACTGCATTCCATGAAAACATCCATCTCAGTGCCAGCTAGACCCCATAATGGTTAACCTTTCCAGCATATAAGTAGGACTACGGTGACTATATAGTTTTCGCAAACATCAGCAGCCGCACCAGAGGTTGTCATCACTAGGTGGCTACTCCTCGGGAGAGTACAACTTCTCTTTCGATTTCCCCCAGGAAGGCACGCCTCTCATGGCCCCCATTTCATCTCATCATCAGATCCGTCGTATTAAATTCTCAAGGTGCACTGATGTGTTCCGGTCCAAATAAAGGGTGTATGTAGCCAGTATTGCAGCTCATAGACAGACACCTGTAACTGACTTGCAAACAAAGAAGTAACTTCTGAGAACCAAGATGTTTTTCTTTTATACAACTGAAGTGACTAACTATCTTACACCCCACCTGATGGTAAGTAGCTACTACAGCCTATGAACACCTGCAACCAGGGTTACCAGATGACAGGAATTTTCCTGACATGTCCGGATTTTAGCTCTTCGTAAGAGAAACAGGAAAAATTTGAAATTGTCAGGAATTTTTAAATAAAATATTTTGTTAAAATTTAAAAGCTTATCCTAAAAAAAAGAGATTTTTGGGTAGGTATTTGAGACGCGCTTAAAACTTGTCAAATACCTACCCAAAAATGTCTAACAGCTCTCGAACTATTTGCTGCCTCTGTATCAATGTAAGGAAATTTATTGAAAAGTCAGGTATATTGCCAGGAAAATTCATTGTGGGATCTGATAACCCTACCTGCAACCAACTGCAAACAAGAAGAAGGAGGCTACAGGTGCGTAGTCACATCGGAGGACTAAGATGGATTGCCTCGTTTCCAGTAAAAAGGGTCTCTAGATCTCCAATTATTGCAGCGTGGCTCTACCATGTACGAGGAGAACCTCCTCGTTTTTTGGAAAAAAAAAGAGAATCTAATAAATGAAATTGGATGTATTAATAAACAAATTTTAAATATCGTATTATGCTAATAACCTATTATTATGAAAGAAATTTTTGAACACATTTACTTACTACAAAAATTCTCATCACTGCCGTCATCACAGTCGAAATTTCCATCACAATACTTGGCCTGCGATACACAACCACCGCCAAGGCAGTTGAATACTTCACCCAAACATTCAGGGTCGTAGGACTGTATCCCATCCGTGAACTGACATGTGCACGACGTGAGATATAACGCCAACACAAGGAATATCGCTGCCATGCTGTTTACAGAATGAAGACCATAATTAACCTTACATTCATCAACCTCCTGTTAACTAATGACCGCATAACAAGTTATCGAGTCATGAATACTACGTTTGATCCCAGCCAAAAGCAATATTTGTGCAACAGTACAATGTTTGTGCAAAAGCAAAACAAAAAATTGCTATTCGCTTCTTTAAATATATTTTACGTTTCCGTATGTCCCACACGGCATTCAAATCATCATCCGATCGATCAATATATGGCCAAATACTCAAACGTTACTCAATCTATGTCGTTTAGTCTCGTGGTGTCACAGTCACTTTAACTTAAAGTGATAGAGACAGCACGAGGCATCTTGAGCAGGTGCAGCGTTTGAGTCTTTAGCCCGCTTTTCACTATGGGATATAATATAATATATATTACATCTCGAGATATAAATTAATATCGCTCGCCATACATTTCATATGGAACCGTTTACACTGAGCTATAATATATATTACATCTCAAGCTATAAATATTTTTTCGATCGACCGAGCGATATTTTCATATTATATTTCGCCCCCTGTACCCCGCACACCGTTCCGCGCCCTCGCAGAACGGTGTACGGGGTAAAGGGGGGTAATTCAATGACCAATGACGAACGCACACTAGTTAAAAGATATAATATCTAACAGTGTGAAAGCCAATAGCGGGATATAATTTATATTTCGGGATATAATATATATTATATCCCATAGTGAAAAGCCAGCCTTTGATTATATACATGTATATAATCAAAGGTTTGAGTATTGGGTGCATAAGTCCGACTTTATTATCCAAGTATTATTAGGTCGTTAGTAAAACATAGTAGTTTAGAAAAACCTAGTTATTTCATTTGTTTAGATAAACTGTAGTGTGGCTGAGGTCTGCTTTGGGCATTTAATTAGGGGAGACATATGTTCAGTTGTGGACTTGTAAAGGGCTGTAATGATGAAACTGTAGTGTGGTTATGTAACTCTGGTGGAAATCGTAGCCAGTAGGAATCACTCCGTAATTGCATTGTTACAACGGTTTATAAACAGAATTAGGCTTTTAAAATCTCTACATAGTATAAAACAAAGTCGCTTCCCGCCGTCTGTAAGCTTAGATCTTTTAAAGTACGCAACGGATTTTGATGCAATTTTCATCATTAGATAGAACAATTTACGAGAAAGGTTTATATGTGTAACACATGCCTGTTATATAGTATATGATTCTTCTGTCTGTGTGTATGTGGGTTGAACTCCTAAACGACTGGACCGGTTTTGATGAAATTTTGTGTGTGTGATTAAATTGATTAGAGAATGATTTAGAATCGCAATAGGACCCGATAGGTAACGTTGTTGTCGAGATCCAGAAATCTACCGTGCGAAGCCGGGGCGGATTGCTAGTAAAAAGTAAAAGCCGACTTCAAAGAACTAAAATAAAAAAATAATTTTCATGTAATAGCTTCTGAAGTCGATATTAAGACATAGTATAATACTAATGTGACGGCTCCGTGGCACAGTGGTTTAGCAATGAGTTGCTGCGCTGGGGGCCGCGGGTTCGAATCCCGCACGGAACAAGTATTTGTATGGCCGGCAAATAATTTTTCCGGGTCAGGATGTTTGTCCTTGTGTAATTTATGTTTGTAAACTGCCTCCATGATTCAGGAGCAAATCCTAGTGTAGGGGTAGCGTTTAAACTAAAGACCGAATTTGGGTCTCGGCGACCAGCCACAACAGAGTTTAGCCTTCGGCGCAGGACAGGATTATAGTGTCTAAGTGTATGCGCAAGCACAGGTGCACTGTCTATTCCCTCACTCTCATAGTTCGATAGGACGGTAAGGCGACATGATCGGAGAGAGATCAGGCACAGGACCAACACAACGGCTTTACGTGCTTTCGGAAGCACGGAATTTCTTGACGGAAAAACTCAATAATTAATTTTTTTCGGCCCAACCCGGGATTCGAACCCGGGACCTCATGATCAGCAATTATAAAATGTTTGAGTTTGAGTTTACAAACTCAAAAAATTTATTGCGTTCATGTGGTTACATAAATAGTTCTTATGTTGGATATAATAGAGCCACACATGAGCCCTGACAGGGCATAGTAAAATTATTTATCAATTTAATTTAATTGATTTAGAAAGATGAATTACATATTTTATTTACTTAAACTATTTCATTTCACTCATTACGTATTAAATCACATTATATATTACATATTTTGTCTTAACAAAACTATTATTTGCGTAGTTAATATTAGTGTGGTGAACTACGTTGCCTAATCTATTAATAATTGCCATATCGTTCTTTATGGAGGCCGTGTTTCTTAAATGACGACGAGATAACAGAGAATCCACAGTAAAATGTAACTAATGTCACCTGTCCCTTATTATTCTGGGATTTATAAAGATCGTATATTTATGTGGGACTCATAAGAAACAAGTGGTAATATTAAAAGTTTTGTACAACCGATTTCAATATAAAGAAAACGAAAAGTCATCAATGTAATCGAAGTCAATTAAATACGCGTATGAATTACACTTAATAAGGCGTGCATTATTAAGGATACCTCAAAACTACTGGTCAGATCTTGATCAACCCTTCTTAACCACATGAGAAGCACCAGCTTTCAAATAAAAAAAGAATCATCAATATCGGTTCACCTAGAAAAAAGTTCTGAGGTAACACACAAAAAAAAGTACAGTCGAATTGAGTACCTCCTCCTCTTTTAAAAATCGGTTAAAAAATTAAAGTGCCAACTGTGTTACTTGCTAGCACTCTGTAAAAAGCTACTAACGGGATACTGGTTTTGTGATTATGTAGGCAAAGGACTTGCTAACTATCACTTCGTTCACAATTTTTCATCTAAGCCCTTTTTATGGCTAAATGTGGTCAGAGAAGCTCGATGCTCTTTGCCTGGCCCAACGGGAATTACAGGTATGACGCTAACATACACCTATCATTGTACTACAGGTAACTTGAATTTAATGTAAACAATCCAATTCTCATCGAGGTGCAGATAGTAACAACAATCAACAGCCTTTTGCTTTTACTACAGTTCTGAAGTCTAGAACACAAGCTCTTCTTATTTTTAAAGGATTTTTAAGGAAGGAAACGGGGAAGAGTGCGCTGCCACAATAAGTATTATTGGTGTACTTCACATTACGTCTTAGAAATGTTTGCAATTCCTCAGATTTATAGAAGTCTTCATGTGACATTTAAGAGAGGTCCGAGGTACCATGATTGTACATGGTTATTGAAGGATTAAGAAGTAAGTAGAATATAGTATATATGAGGGTAATATGGTCATCCGGTTAATGTGGTCACTTTCTTATAACTCAAAAACTACAGCCTTGTTTGCATAGACGGCTCTGTGATACGATAGCTCTTCATCAGTCAATCAAATAATAAAGGGTCAAAAGGGCGCTGCTTTATCGACAGTTGATATTATAGTAAATATTTTGGTCGTTGTATTGTGTAGTGTAGTTAGTTTATATAAAGTTGATTTTTCAAAGTGTTCCTAATTATTGTCAAAGCTTGTTTGCTAGTTTTTTCTTAATATATTAGTTATAGTACACGATTTTGTGTTTTTGTCTCCGTCCGTCCGTTTTTGTTTTATAGAGCGGCAAAGCTTAAGATAACCATATTACCCTCGCGCACCTTAGTATAATGGAGATGGTAATTCATGAATTTAATCGGCCACACACGTTAACGGGTGTATTACATACAATTTCTTTATATTATCAAATTTCATGCTACTAATAATAGCAATAATCAAACTATAAATAGTCTTAAATCGCATGGCATCAACATTTTATTTGTACCGTCGTATAAATTTTCCTTACATAAAAAATAATTTTAACGATTTTTGTACTTTTATTAAAATAACTTAGCATTAGAAACAAAATACAAGTGGAAAAATTAAAATCGTAGCAAACTTTAGAATTTATCGAAAAAAAAACTGAAATTAAATTATTTATATATAATACGGTAATCCACTTACCTAATTTAAAAAGATATATCACTTCATCTGAACTTCAAATAAATTGTAATTGTAATTAAACAATAATTCTAAAAAGTATTTCCGTCGTAAGTGTTTACGTGGCTAAACGGTTGAAAAGTGAACGATTGAAATTTAAACAGCTTTATTCGAATACGAAATATAAAACTACCCGCAACTTTATTACGTCCTAAGGCTAGGTTTACATTTTTAAAGATTGTTGTTATCTTTACTTTATCCATATCATTTTAGCGATAAAAATATTTACTTCAGTATAATAAAGTTATTACTTTTAAATAGCACTATTGGCCATTATTTACGTATAAATGTAGTGGAAGTGCCGGATCAGCCATGCCAAAATTGTCTAGTGCCTATTCTAGGATAGCTTACCAACTCAAAATTCTAGGGAGGGCTTAGTTAAATACCTTGGGCGTCAGCTTCATCAGCCCTTGGTCTTTAGAGTTCAGTTCCCTAGAGAAAGTAACTTTAGATACACCAACATATTAACAATCACTGGTGGACATAGACTTGCGCCAAATGGCAAAGCATTTTCCCATATTTTATACGTGGTTGAGCCATGCTGCATCGATATTAGTAGTATAGTTGTAGCACGAATGGGTCGGCTCGACCGGGGAAGGACCACGCTCTCACAGAATACCAGCGTAAAATAGCAGCTTAACACTGCTGTGTTTCGTATGGTGAGTGTAGAGAACCGGAGACCCTTTTTACTGGAAAATAGGCATTCCATCTTAGTCCTCACGGGTGACAACGCATCTGCATTTTGATTCGCAAACGAGGATAAATATAGATGTCTATGGGCCACAGCAACCACTTACCATCAGATGGACGGTGTGCTCGTTTGTCACCCTATCCTATAAAAAAAATATTCACCTTGAGCAGGCGAGTTGATGAGCGTTGGTGATCTGTCATAAAATTAATTTGAGTGTTATTATATCACAAGAAATATTAAAAATGACGATCATCATCAACTTCCCATTCGGTAACATATTACAAGTTAAATGTGTGCTTAACTACGCACTCGTTTTTAATGAAATTTTAATCAGATATTAATTTTGCAATTAATCGTCGTATAAAATTGATATTGGGGCAATATATTCAGTTCTTTCGAGATATGCGGGACGAAAAGTATTTACTTACACGCGACTAAAGTAACATAGTTCATCTTTTGAAAATTGGTGTAATCGGACTCTGTGGACCGATATGTGGATGTCGAACTCATACGGGGGTGTCACTGAAAGTTCTTAGAAAATCAAAAACTGAACAAACTAGCAAGTTATAAGTTTTATTATATCTTTTCAAAATAGTGTCAATTTACATCAATACATCGCTGCATCCGATGGAACCACTGAGAAAAGCACTTTGCCCACACGTCCTTAGGGGTCTCTTCAACGGCATTTTGAAACGCAGTCACTTGAACCTTTTCCTTGAAGTTTTTCTTTTATTTTCGGAAATAAATAAAAATCGCAAGGTGCCAGGTCGGGACTATAGGGCGGGTGACCCAGTAATTCCACGTCTGACGTCGCCAAGTAGTCGATTGTTTACTTGGCGGTGTGCGACGAGGCGTGGTCGTGGTGAAGGAGGATCCTACTGCGAGGTCGTTTCTACCGAACTGTTTCCAAGCCAAGTGGCAAACAATTGTTAGTGTACCACTCTGCAGTAACTGTTTTTCAATCCTCTAAAACAATTGTTGCGTAATGACCTGTCCTTCCGAAGAACGAGACCACCATCTTTTTTCCCATACTTCGACCTCTCTTCACTTTTGTTGGCAACTCCTCGGAAGGAAACACCCAGACAGCAGACTGTCTCTTAGTTTCAGGATCATATCAATAAATCCAGCTTTCGTCACCCGTAAGTATGTCGAACACAGCATTTGGGTCACCTCCGTTAAATCTTTGAACCATTTCACGACACCAATCAACAAGACGGAATTTTTGGGCCTTTGTCACATTATGAGTGAGGTATCCACCGGGCACAAAGCTTCCTGACCGTTAAATGTTCATGGAGGATTTTGTGCATTTGACTCATACCGATGCCTAAGCTTGTCCGAATCTGCTGATAAGTCACTCTTTTGACAATCTCTATGATACGCCGCACAACACTGATGATCTTCAGTCGACGCCGTAGAAGGTTGTCTCTCACGCATATCATCGGTGAGGCTAGTGCGGCCACGTTTAAACTCATTAAACCAGTTGTAAACAGTGGCACAAGATGGGGCTTCATCGTGAAAGGAGAATCGAAGTCTATCATAACTTTCTTGTTGACTTAAATGACATCGAAAGTCATAAGCAATCATTGTACGAAAATTGTATCGCGTTAAATTGCTAACGTGAAACAGACAATTTTCAATTTGCCGCCAAATCATAAACAAATGACAAATTACATACTAAATAATATTAGCAAAGTGGTTCATTTTCAAAATTTGAACTTATTTTGCATGCCTAGCGCAAAGCGCGTAGGTATGTTCTACTAGCGCCTAAAAATCAAGATTCCAACGTTTTGTCGCATAAAATCGTATCTAACAATCATATTGAACATATAAATGATATAAAAAGCACATTGTCAGAAAGATAAATGATTGTTGAACTTATTAATTTTTTTTAAATCGATTAATTGCTATTTTTACATAAAAAGTGGTTACCATACGCCACTAATATGGTGTAGATTTATCAAGTCCGCATGGAGTGGGTAAACACGATAACTTTTGAAAATATTAGTTGTTTAACTCAATCTATTTTTTACTCTCTTCATCTATCATGTGGAAAGCCATGGAATGTAAATGGCAGTTTAATTTTGTTTTGTTTAGTTATAATTAATTTTTTTCGGCTACGAAATGTTGAAATTTTCCGTGTATTCATTTATTTTTTGTAAATAGACTGCGGTAGTCTGACTGCCTCCCTCAGTTTATCGTTAATCGCCGTCGTGAGTAGATACTGTTACTGTATTGGTTGTTTCCAGCGGCTCAAAAAGATCGGTGTTCAAATACAAAATATTCCAAAAACCAAATTTCTTACATACTTGATTATTATAATAATCAGAGATTTTTATTCCAATATTTTAAAAGTATAAAATAAATAATAGTAGTACATACTAAAAGTAAGTAGGATGTATATATTTAAGTATATTTATATTTAAATACGTCTTGGACTTTATGGCGTTACCTGATCATATGAGTATTATGACTTGTGCACTTTTGGATTTTCCAAACTTTTTTAATTGAAGTTTGACATATAATTATTGGAAAATTGGAAGTATAATATTGTGGTTATTAGTGAAAACTTGTGTGTACTTAAACTACTTTAAAAAAAATTCCTTATAATCATGTTATACGTAATTTTTTTAATGCGCTTAGAGCATGCATAATTGGATTTAACAATATATTATTATATCGTTTACAAGTGGCCAGTTCTAAAAACTTTCAGTGTCGCTCTCTTAACAATAACTTTCAAAAGAGAGGGATTTAAGTGTAAACCTATTTCAGATTGATTTGAGAAACCTATTCGAAAATATCGCCTTGTAAATTAATTTTAAGTTTGAATGGAGTTAAGAATGAAGAATCGATAATAAATTACGATTTAGGATAACGTCAAGATTTCTTAACACTATTAAAACATTTTTGGTATTTTTTTAACTATTAAAAGTTATAAAAAAATTAACCGTATATTTTTTTTGAATTACCAGCTTACGTATTATTGTTTTTTACTGTTAAATTATTACTGTGAACTTTCTCTGTTTCTTCTCTGTGCTGTATACTTTCTTGCTAACTATTTGTGCTTGTGCTATATACTCCTTCTGTATATATATGGTGTTGCGTGAAATTCGAAGTAAATACCAAAAGACTGTGAGTAACTTTTTATTTTACCTACGCAACCCACAAACTCAACCTTATTTCGCCTACGTGTATAATAATTGCGTTTCAAAGCTAGTAGGGGCAAAAAATATCATATTAAATTGTATACTATCAAAATACATTAGTGCTTTTAATATATAAATATATATTTCCCAACATTGTGTAATAAACTATGTACTTCCTTCTTTCTTTTATTTTTAAAACTTGATTTATACAAAAATTACATTTTAACATTAGGGGGTTATAAAATACAGATTTCTTAACGTTACTTACTCTGGAGCGGTCAGCGGCTGCAATAATCTATGCTTCAGGCTGTCTTACTTTTGACAGGTCAGAGTCCAACTACAACTTTCGTTTAGATATATAAGTTAGAAGTTTTTAAATTTAACTATAAATACTACATCCAACTTTAAAAGTGTTTTGTATAAAATTAGTTAGCTGGTTGGTAAGAAAAAATGGCATCTCAAGTAGCAAAATCTTTACTAAAAGTGTCCTGTCCGAGCTCAACCGTGAAGTTTGGTAAGTAAAATTATTTTCGTCGTTACTTCAATCTTTATAATATTTACCAACATTATTTTTAATATGAATAGTTTCTTGGAATGAATTGATTAGGGACAAAACTTGTTAAAATAAACTTTGATCCCTAGTTGATTATTTTGGCATCAATACAATATTACAAAATGACTTCCTGTTTATTAGAATTTAGAGCATCGAGAGTGATAAAGCAACTGAATATTTTTGTTATCTTTTCAATAATTTTAATTAATAGCCAATTAAATATGCCCAAATAATTTTAATCAATAACCATTGCTCGGGGTTGCTGCAGTAGAGCCAAAGTGACCGACATAGCCCAACGGATTAGTAAGCTGGAATGTTAATGGGCCGGCTATATAGATCGAAGAACTGACAACCGATGGGGAAAAAAGGTTCTTGAGTGATGGCCTCGTACAATGTGTAGGGCATTCCCCCACTAGATGGAGTGACAACCTAGTAAGACATGCAGGAAGTCAATGGATGCAGGTGGCTCAGGACCGTGCTTTATGGCATTCCTTGGGGGAGGCCTATGTTTAGCAGTGGACTTGTGATGGGCTGTAATGATGATGATGAATAGCCAATATTTAAATTCTTTTAAAAACATAATGAACATTGTTCATATTACCTTAATCCTCCTAGGATTTCTCTTAGATTATAAGTTCCTTACTTTAAAAACATTTCAAATTCATCATGACAATTTTTATAAATATAAAGCAATTGACAAAAGTATTTATAATCTGCCTGATGGTAAGTGACTACTGTAATTTTATAAGTGGTAGAGCCATGCTGCAGCTATATTATGATTATAGCACGAATGGGTTGGCTCGACCGGGGAAGGACCACGCTCTCACAGAATACCAGCGTAAAATAGCAGCTTAACGCTGCTGTGTTTTGTATGGTGAGTGTAGGGAACCGGAGACCCTTTTTACTGGAAACGAGGCATTCCATCTTAGCCCTCACGGGTGACAACGCATCTGCATTTTGATTCATAATCGAAGATAGATATAGATGTCTATGGGCCACAGCTACCACTTACCAGCAGGTGAACTGTGTGCTAGTTTGTCACCCTATCCTATAAAAAAAAATTCATGGAAACCTGCAGCGGACTTTAAACGGAGAAAGCTACAGATGTGTTGTCGCCTCTTAGGACTTAGATGGAATGTCTCAGCCTTTAATTACTGACTTCTATACCCTTCATGCTGGAACACATAAAAAATGAAAGTTTATTTAATTCTTCAAAACCACAAAATAATATCTTAACACTAAACTTAGGTAATGGCTATTATAACAAAATGGTTGTGGATTGCTGTACGCATGGAAGAATAGTCATCAGGGTGACAATGAATATATTAAATATATATTTTTTTATAGGATAGGGTGACAAACGAGCACACAGTCCACCTGATGGTAAGTGGTTGCTGTGGCCCATAGACATCTACATTTATTCTCGTTTGCAAATCTAAATGTAGATGCGTTGTCACCCGTGAGGACCAAGATAGAATGCCTCTTTTCCAGTAAAAAGGGTCTCCGGTTCTCTACACTCACCATATGAAACAGCAGCAAGCTGCTATTTGACGCTGGTATTCTGTAAGAGCGTGGTCCTTCCCCGGTCGAGCCGACCCATTCGTGCTACAACTATACTACTAATATAGCTGCAACATGGCTCTACCACATAAAGATAATATTAGAATAGAAATTATTCATCATAACAGCCCTTTACAAGCCACTGCTAAACATGGATCTCCCCTAAGGAATGTTACAAAACACTGTGCTGAGCTACCTGTATCCATCAGCTTCCTGTATGTCTTACTACGTTGTCACTCCATCTAGTGAGTAGCCCTAAACTTGGCACACTGGTACGAGGCTGTCACTCGAGAACCTTTTGGAATATAAGTGTGGTGATCTTATTATTCAAGAAAATCGAGAACGCTTTATTGAATGAAATCAGGCAGGTCTAACATTGGCCTACCTAGAATTGACAACTTACTGTCCCCTAAACAAGGCAATTTATGAAGAGGCTTTAGTATTGTAGACTTCAAACATACTCTTCGGCAAATTGTATTGATTTAGTGTTAAATTTTTCAGCAATAACCTAAGCTTAATTTTTTATTCTAATGTTGTACAAACTAAGTACTTTTACTTTACAAGCTTAACATTAATTTTCATGATTTTATTGTTATTCTCATCAGCACTCACCAAGAACACAAGAAAGACACATTTATTCACATACATCCACATGTTCATCCTGCACATAATTTTCTCAAGTGAGATTTAAAAGTTGTATGTTTCATACTGTTTTCATTTTACCATATTTGTTATATTAAAGACAGCATAAGTTGTTTAAATTATTTCCATAAGTTAGTACTTATAAAACTGTATTTATTTAAGTTTAATATTCTGCTGTAGCACAGTATAAATAATAGTACTATGTACAGAAGTTGCACTTCTTTGATGTTGACTGTTTGCTGACGTTTTAATAGCCTACATAATTGTTATTAATCAGATAAATTGTGCATGCAAGCTTAATAAAACTTTATTGCTGCGTGCAAGTGTCCGTATTACTTTGCATCTTTCTTCTTTCTACGTCACAATGGACTTTCCGTGGTTACTTAGGGCTGTTAATAAAGAATAAAAAGATACATTGCAAAATGGTAAGTTACTTAGGTAAAGTACCTATTCTGACTATGATCCACCATCGGCTTCTATGTGAGTTCTGTGATGCCCAACGCATGCAACTTGCAAGGCCGTTCATCGGGAATCATGATGCTTGGCTCGTAAGAAATAGGTATACGGAGTAAACAACAAATAAACCCAAAATACGATTCCTGACAGAAATGTGATCATTTTCTACTTAGTTAAAAATCTCCTAAACAAAGGCTTAATTTCAGTATTTTGTGTTATTATAACTTAAAATATTTTAATTACAAAAGACAGTATGTAAGTAGATACATGGGTAGTGAAGTAAATTTCAACTGAGTTTTGTAATAAAGTACTTAGGTAATACTTTTGTAGTAAAATTATTACTTAATTCTTTTTTCGCTATAAGTACCTATCTAACAAAAATATGACATAAATTAACCTTTCGTTATTATCCTTCGGTAACTAAAAAAATGATATGCGTATACCTGAATCCTTTTGTTTGCTCATTAAGCATCCATCCCCGCAACAATTATATTACGAACGACGTTTTGTCAAAGTAATTTATGAAATAGATAGTTAATATACATATACATTATTCTTAAATTACATTAAAACTTCTTCAACTATTTTATCCTACAATTAAATATACTAAACACTAAACAAAAACTATTTTGACGAGTATTTCAACATGTATTTACAAAAGACTATTTGCATAAACAGCATTAAAAACCTTTAATCACCTAGAATGCGCTAGCCCCGACTGCATTCTGACTCGGGGGCGCCTCGTGATTGTAGGTTATTATTTCACGCAGGCACCAAGAGTGACAGAGGCCTGGCTGTAGCACTCCACTGGATCAAATCTATAGAATGTAATCTAATGACAACTTGGGATCCCAAGATATAAGCCTGGTCTAGTTTGGGACCCAATGATTTTTATATTGTATTGATGATTTTTATATTGATTACTCTGTAGATAGTAATAATATCCTCCAGATCAACAGATTTTCGTCATGATAGTCAGTCTCAATGTAATTTAGCCATTTGCATAGGAGAGGATTATAATGTACAATTGTTTGCCCATTCCCACACACTCATAGTCTAACAGACTGTCAATTAAACACAACCAGAAAGAGATCAGACACAGGACCAATGGCTCTGCATGCTTTCTAAGGCACAAGGGAAGTACTACCACAGCCTCTATCAGTTATTCCAAAATGTGCATATATAATATTACAAAGACTATTGCAAATGTTGGAAACAATAAAATTTAAGAGCCAAAAGCCATTAGCATTGAAAGATAAAAATGTGTACTTGAAAAATACTTACATTATTATGCATTTCGAAAGTATTAAGTATTTAAATTTTTTAGACACTGCTAGACGGGCACTCAGCGTAGGAGCTGCTTTGCAACAGAAAAAGACACTCCCTGATCGCACAGGCAAAAATGTGGTGTTGGTTGATGGAGTCCGTACACCTTTCTTAGTGTCATTCACTGACTATGCTAAGATGATGCCGCATGAGCTAGCCAGGCACTCTTTGTTGTAAGTATGATTTTGTATCCCCATTAAAATAGACAAAATGTAGTAAATAATTGTTGACGAAATAAGGTAAAGATGATTTCTCAAGTTTGGTTAGGTTTGACTTTGATGTATGAATTTAAATAAGTACTACAATACTTCTTTTTGTATCAGTGAAACAATTGACGAGTGTTGATTTATATTTTAAAACTATATTGCATTCATAACTTAGATGCCAGCTTTAACCAAATAATTGTGCTACAGTAACTTGCAACATGTTATTCAGCGTAAAATAATGCATGACTTGGAACAATGATATAGCACAGGATATTCAATTTATCCACTCTAAAAAATCCATCCTGAGATGTATACTTATTGCACTAAAAATAAAGAATATATTTAACTAATTTTACTATATGGTGGCTTTATTAGGGTGGATAAACGGTGGAATAACTCTATAGCACCCCTAAAAGACCAAAAATTGGTTAGTATTTTTCTATCAAATTTTATTATATTTTGCTTAGTTTTTCTGTCAAATATTGTAAACTGAAAACTTTTTTATTTGGAAATTATTTTGGAAAACTCACATACTCTTCTATTTCATACCACAAATCAAATTCTTGTGATCTATTCCACAGGGGTCTATTGCAAAAGACTGGCATACCAAAAGAGGTAGTTGACTATATTGTGTATGGCACTGTCATCCAAGAGGTGAAGACTTCTAACATTGGCCGTGAGGCTGCTCTAGCTGCAGGCTTCAGTGATAGGACCCCTGCTCATACAGTTACCATGGCCTGTATTTCTTCCAACCAAGCCATCACTACCGGTAAGGGCTGCTATCATTAGCTTCCACATATTGTATTATTTTATAATTTAAACTTGAATCTTGCACATAGTTGGATTTAATATTGCTCTTTGAACTAGGCATGGAACGAGTAGTGATTCGCCGAATACACGGCCACCGGGTACTCGGCCTAGATTGGGCCGAGTACTCTGCCGAATACTCGGCTTTAAAAAAAACGCGGTAGCGGGCGGCGTGCGGTTATTTCCCTTACAAACTAGACCCAAATAGGAACGAAATACTAGTGTTTTTGCATCACAATCTTCCTCTCTTAAATTTTAAATATTAGTAATAATAATTTCTATTATAGATTCTTATGTACGTTCTAAATATTTCTGCTACTTCTCATGTTCCTGATGTTTTAATGTGTCTAATATAATAATAATGATAAAAACTGTCTTTTCGTCTTTATTTTTCTCTGGAATATAATTAAGGCCGAGTACTCGGTACTCGGCCGTTAATACTCGGTGCTCGGCCGAACCCTAAAAAAAAGGCCGAATCCGCTGAGTACCGAATCCAAACTGAGTACTCGTCCCATGTCTACTTTGAACCAATATGTGGTATGGTGGGTGTTGGTATTAAATGTGAAAGAGGAAAGAGCCACACTGGAGCTACATTATGGTTGTATCACGAATGGGTCGGCTCGACCAGGGTAGGACCACGCTCTCACAGAATACCAGCGTAAAATAGCAGCTTAATGCTGCTGTGTTTCATATGGTGAGTGCAGAGAACCGGAGACCTATTTTACTGAAAAAGAGGCATTCTATCTTAGTCCTCACGGCAGATAACACATCTGCATTTTAATTCGCAAGCGAAGATAGATGTAGATATCTATGAGCCACAGCAACCACTTACCATCAGGTGGACTGTGTGCTTGTTTGTCACTCTAATTCTATAAAAAAAAATTGCAGAATAATGCTGTGATTTGTATGGGGAGTATAGAGAACTGGATATCATTCATCTTAGTACTAAGGGTGACAACACATCTGCATTTTCATTCTTAAGGCGACACCGCGAAAAAATGCACCTCCTTTCATCGAATAGTATAGGAGTATGACACGACTAACGAAACTGGAATTTTGATATAGGTAAATTCATTCATTCATGTCTTTATCTTGAATTTGCTTGTTCAAAAACATGATTGTAAAATTTTGACTCCATCATAATTATTTGCGAAAACACTTCTAAAAAATCACTATAGTTGAAATTACAACAAAACTACTTAATCTATATGCTTGAGAACCACTTAAATACATTCATAACATCAATGTTCATACTTTATTTGCTCAATATTTTGATTACTAAAATCAATAACTTTAAAAATATTTTAAGATTCTAAGCGGTCTTAATCGTCGCGGGTGCTACGCAATTTTCGACCGTATGACGGCGTTTTTGAAGTTTTTATAGAAATTATGTTTCACTTGGGTCAGTCCGACGATAGACCGCTTCAACGGTTTTCGATGTGTCGCCTTAAGCGAGGATAGATCTAGATGTCTATAGGCCTCACAACACACACCACCAAGTGGACTGTGTGCTTGTATGTCACTGATATTGGGTATCAACTTCCAAAGACGTTTCATACAACACCCACGGGACGATATGGGGTGAATGTTTTCTTATGCCGCAATACACGGCAATTTTTTTACCACTATTAATATTTTCACCATGAATAATGATATGTCCAGGTGTGGGCATGATAGCGGCGGGTGCGTACGACGTGATAGTGGCGGGTGGTGTGGAGTTCATGTCGGACGTACCCATCCGACACTCGAGGAAGATGAGGTCGCTGCTACTACGCATCAACCGCGCCAAGACACCGGCTCAGCGGCTTTCTCTGCTCGCGTCTATTCGACCAAACTTCTTCGCGCCCGAGGTATATAAATTTTTTATTTAACTTTCTTTTTTTAATACCAATACATGAAACCAGTTCAGTATTTCTATACTGAAATGATAATGATCTTGTCAAGTCTTGATTAAAAATATAACTGAGGCTAACATGCTTAACATCTTAGACCACAACAAGATTTGTGGTCAAACATGACAAACTTTCGAATATGGTTTGGTATTATCCATATTATATTTAATATATTTTTTTTTTATAAGAACAAGTTCACCTGATGGTAAGTGGTTGCTGTGACCCATTGACATCCACATCTATCATCAATAAAGAATCAAAATGCAGATGCGTTGTCACTTGTGAGGACTAAGATGGAATGCCTCTTTTCCAGTAAAAAGGGTCTCCGGTTCTCTACACTCACTATACGAAATACAGCAGTGCTAAGCTGCCATTTTACTTTGGTATTCTGTGAGAGCGTGGTCTTTCCCTGGTCGAGTCGACCCATTCGTGCTACAAGTATACTAACTATTAATATAGCTGCAGCATGGCTTTACTAGGTATAAAGGGGAAGAGCTTTTGTCTTTGATTGAACACATTAATTTCTGGAACTATCAGTCCTATTTGAATAATTATTTTTGTATATCTAGAATATATATATATAGGCTATCTAGAATTAGGTTACACATCTTAGCTAGCCTTAAATGTTGATTTTTGTTACGGAAGTCGGAAGACGAAGTGTTCCCGAAATGATTTATCCGTTTGCGCTGGCGTAATGGTTAGTGATATGGAAATACAATTTTTTACAAAAATATAGATCTTTACTCCATCTAAAAAAAAAGTCCACGACTTTTTCTGCTCAAACTAGTTATCTCAAAAATTGCCTATGTTATCGCCATATTTATAATTAATTTAAAATATAAATCTTCTTTAAAAATAGGTATAATTTATTTCTAAACTCTTTCATTTCACGTTGCTATGTTAGTTTGAAAATTAGATGAAAGTACTCTATTAATTTTACCAATTTTTTCATACGTTGCTATTTAAAATAAAATGTTTGAACTAAGTGTCATTTCACGTCGTGTGGTTCAGACATGTGATATACGCTGGTGAAACTGCGGGGCACAGGTAGTAATAAATATCTCTAAAAAAGAAACCATACTTTAATTGACGATGATGACGATGTTGATGCGGTTGGTGCGGCGCGCAGCTGCCGGCGGTGGCGGAGTTCTCGTCGGGCGAGACGATGGGGCACAGCGCGGACCGGCTGGCGGCCGCGTTCGGCGCGACGCGCGCCGAGCAGGACGCGTACGCGCTGCGCTCGCACACGCTCGCCGCGCACGCGCGCGACCACGGCTACTTCACCGACCTCATGCCCGTCAAGGGTAAGCCACCCCACCACCTACCACACACTGCCACCCATTCACTCATATGTACTATACATACTGGAGAAGCTATTCCAAACAAAAAATGTGCGCTACTCTATGTCTTCGCGCATGCGCAGTTGATATATAATTACTTATTTTATTCACTTGAACAACAAATAATTTTACTTACTTGACCACTGAATTGTTATTTACGTCCAGGTTTAAACTTTACTTTGAAATCTCGTATTATTAGCGCCGCTCCACACTGCATGAATATTGAAGCTACACTAAATAACACTAAAGTACACGTAAGGTGTACGGATTGCAGTACAGTTCAGTTCAACACGGTAAATGTTCGAAATGCGAAATTTAGTGCGTAGTACATATATATCGATGCTACCACCCGTGCAGCACAATGGGATTAAATGTTGCGGTTCATCAGTATTTTTCCATTAACAGTTTATAGAAATTCAGTGCTGAACACAGCCCCTGCTCCATAGATTATCCCATAAAGGAAATATTTACCTTAGTTGCTATGCTTGGTTGACAGGTTGGCAACTGCAATTTTTTATTTTTAGTTGTTATTAGGAAGCCGCTGCTGCCCATCCTAGTTTGTATCCTTCTAACGTCTCTCTGTTTATACGGCACCCGAGGCGAAAACAGCGATAATAACTTTATATATATCACTCTCAAACCACAAACAGAACGATGCGTACATTCTTAGTAACGCCAAAACCAAGCCAAAAACAAACTCCACCTATTGTAAGTATACACACTCACACATGCATATGTCATTATCGTTAGAGAAAGATAACCCAACCTTACCTCCACGAGGCGACTATGCGTTGGCATTTCCCCATGTAAAACAAAACATCCCTCCCTCATAGATTTTATAAGGGGTATATTTATCTGCAGCCTGTTTAATTTTTAGTAAAAAGGAATATGCTGCTACCATCTCCTGGCTTGTTTCCCTCTACCACCTCTTATGACACCCACGGGACAATATAGGTTAGTTGATATCCTTACATCGCCTTCATGGGCCACTGCGTCCACTTATCATCACGTGTGCTCGTTTGTCATCCTTATTCTATGAAAAAAAAAATTGGTGATGTGTGATAAATGGGGTGTTTTACGTGAATACGTAGCGACACGATCTGATAATGACGTCGTTCCCCCCTCCGCCGCACGCAATGCTTCACAGTCCACATATGAACCGATTCTTAGATCCTTTAGCTATAGAGTGCTGTAATTAAATTTTGTATGTAGTTCAGGGATATATAGTTGCAACACCAAACTGCATCCCCCTGATGTTGTTATGATCAGTTTTCTGAATTGCCTCCCACTATGAAAACTAAGCAAATTAAAAGACGTATTCACATCAAAAAATTTTTTCCAGTTGAAGGCAAGGATGGTGTAGTGGACAAGGACAATGGAATCCGCGTGTCGACGCCTGAGCAGCTGGAGAAATTGAAACCTGCCTTCATCAAGCCGCATGGCACAGTCACCGCTGCCAATGCATCCTTCCTGGTGAGATTAGTTGTTACATACTTTACATGCTGTAACTTTTTTTTATAAGATAGGGTGACAAACGAGCACACAGTCCACCTGATGGTAAGTGGTTGCTGTGGCCCATAGACATTTACATCTATCCTCTTTTGCGAATCAAAATGCTGATGCGTTGTCACCCATGACGACTAAGATGGAATGCCTCTTTTCCAGTAAAAAGGGTCTCCAGTTCTCTACACTCACCATACGAAATACAGCAGTTTTAAGCTGCTATTTTACGCTGGTATTCAGTGAGAGCGTGGTCCTTCCCCGGTCGAGCCGACCCATTCGTGCTACAACTATACTACTAATATAGCAGCAATATGGCTCTACCACGTACAATAAGTAACTGTATGACTTCAGTGCAAATGGACCGGCTGAACTGGAGGTGGACTGTGTACTCGTTTGGTCACCCTACTTCATTAAAAAGATGCTTTCACCACCTCATGTGTTACAGTAAAAATGTGTAGCTCTTGTTTTTTAAAATCTTTTTCATCCAGGACAAAACACATATTCTACCAACTTTAAAAAGGAGACGGTACTCAATTCGACTGTATGTTTTTTTTATGTGTGTTACCTCATAACTTTTTACTGGGTGAACCAATTTCGATGATTCTTTTTTTATATGAAAGCTGGTCCTTCACATGTGGTCCAATATGAATTTGATCAAGGTCTGACCAATAGTTTTTGAGTTGTTCTTAATAATTTGTATTGAAGTCGGTTGGTACAAAATTATTAATGTTAAATTATTATTTATACACCTTAATTGACAGTTTCTTCTTTTCAGTCTCTTCGAAAATTAAATATTAATTTCAGTGACGCTGGCACTAAGGTTCACAAAATTACACCTGTCACCAGTGGTTTTTGTGTGACTGTGTAAGATAATTACATAAACCCATTTCGCCTCGTGGATGTCGTGAGAGGTGACTGAGGAGACTGCCAGAAATCTTTAAAGGTTTCGATACCGCTACTATCAGTATAGCCATCTCGATTACGCCAGATGTAAAATACTCGGACAAACAGAGGTGACGGGCAGCAGTGTCATGATGCGCGTTTGATGCTGCAATTGTCTCTCCACCTGCCAAGCGTAACGACTAAGGCAAATCATCCCTAGAACATGAGAAGCCTCATAGCCTCACCTTCTAGCAGTAGAGGCCTTGGTCATGGGACTATATATATATATACATATATATATATATATATATATATATATATATATATATATATATATATAATAAGTGTGAATATGAACTTGCAGCAAGACTTCAAGATACTATAAGTTCATACTGCGTAGATCAGATCAAAAATTAAGTAAAACTGGTTAACTATGACATTGGGATGTCGAACACCTCAATCCCCCGTGACCATGGGTGGATGTGAAATGCTCGGAACGTCGGGAATATAAAATAAGTTTATATATGTCATAAAACTCTTAAAAACTACTTTTATTTAAATGTGTAGTCCGCGTAAACATAAAAAACCTTTATCTTTGAATTTCGACCACAGGCGAAATTTCGTAAAATTATTCAAAATCTTTTTGCAATACATTTTAATTATTTTTGTACTACAGACAGATGGCGCATCTGCATGCTTGATCATGTCGGAGGCGAAAGCTAAGGAGCTCGGCTTGAAACCCAAGGCTTACTTGCGGGACTTTACTTACGTGGCTCAAGTAAGTTATTTTAGGTTTTTCGCCGACAAGGAGACATCTTACCGCCATAGTAACAGCCAAACCAAAGTGGGCGTGGCTATGATTTAATTTGCTGTTGCACCTTTCAGGTTATTTAAAAAAAACTACTGTATCATATTCTATTGAAAGTTTGTCAAGTATTTTTATGCAACAAAATTGGTTTGATGACGGTCATATCATTTATTCTGAAACAAGTTACCACACATATCGGTTATCAACAATTAAAATATCGAATTATTTGTATTAAGGTCAAGTGAGCGCTAGAGGAACAACGACTGCAAGACGTTGTCGATAAATAAAATGTTTTGAAAAGTTATCAATAACTGTGTAGTGGCGATGTATGAATATTCATATGATTCCGTGGGTTTCGTAAGAGGCGACTGGACTTGGGGAAAAGTTTTATTTTTAAATAACCGTGACCGTCGTTCCAGTTACAAAAAAGTCACAGTAAAAAATCATTGTGACTTTGTCACGTTAATAATGTATTTACTTGGAACTTTATAACGACTTATAACGTGATTTTAAATATGCATTTTAGATTTAGTATGTGTTAGGTTTTTTTAATTTAATCTCGGTGGAACGCAGATGCTCCGTGCGATGTTTAGGACAACGTTGCAGAGGTGGGCGATATTTGTGTATATATAAATATTATAATATATTGTGTATAACACAATTTACTGGTAGTCATTTTTCTATGAAAGAAAGATCTAAGTGTTGAGAGCTGCTTAGTCCAGAGCGCTTGGATGTCTATAAGACCTCTTCCACCATGATTTCTGCTTATTGAAATTCTTTCTACTGCAGACTTTGGATGTAAATGATTAAATTTTGTTAGTATGGTACGTGTTTTTATTTTGAGGCTAACTATGTCTGTTTTTGTCCATTATACCACATGAATATGTTAACATCGGAATCGCATAAGCATTAATAGCTTTAATGTGGCTTTTTGACGTTAGTTGGGTTTTACAGATTCGGCTTACTCTATTTTTGTAATCTGTTAATAATGCGTTTTTTAAGCTAATGTGTAAGTTTCTCTTCCTTAAATTTGGTTCGTCCTTATACCCTTTTTGTTCCTCTGCCATAATCATGTTAAACTCTAGGTGTGAATTTATTTTTGCAGTAATAGTAGCGGATAAAATTTTGTATATTGTGGGTAGATAAGTAATTAGGCGATATTGGGTTGGACTATTTGTAATATTACCTTTTGGAATCATATACGTAATTCCTTTTGAAATAAATGGCGGCAGTGATTGCTTTTGGAGTATAACATTTGTAAAAGTTTTATCGAGAGCCTTGTGGAATGTACGTAATTTTTTATACCAAAAATTGTGAATGTTGTCTATTCCTGTTGATTTCCAATTATGTAGTTTAGAAGTAGCGATTTTAATGTCATTTTCTGTTATTTCGTCAAATATCATTTCCTCTATTGTACCCCATTTACTTTTCTCCTCTTGTATCCAGTCTGCACTTTCATTGAGCGATGCTGACTTCTCCCATATATCAGACCAAAACTCTATTGCTGCTCTTTTGTTACTATTTGTGTATCATCCCCATTATTAGTTATATTTTTATCTTGCATTAGTTGTTTGTTCGTTGTAAAAAGTTTATTTTCTCGTTTTCTTTGATTAGCCTTCGAATATCTTCTAAGTCTTTGTGCTTTTATTACTGCCTTTCCAAATACCCTTTACTTAATATTTCCTCTAAGGAAATGTTATTAGCGTATCTAAATGAAGCCACTGCAGACCTGATGCTTCCTGGACTAGAGAAAATACCAGCTTCGACGAATACTGTTTTAACCCATCCCGCTATAACAGATCTTGAAGCTGTTTTCACTCGTGTAAATAAATAAATTATCTAAGTTAGGATCAGCTTTCCTCCTTTCTTTAGTCACACTTAATAATGTTGTGACCCTAAAATGTAAATCAAAGTAACGATCCTCTGATTTAAGAATTTTCCAGCCTGATTGCATGTAGTTTGCCTTGTCTGTTCTTGACCCAAATTTTGGCCAAAATATCACATAATTTGAATTTATCTCCATGAACTCATTTCCTGTAGAAAGTAAGGTAAAGTCATGAATCCTTCGCGCGGATGCAAGCAAGTAAAAGTAACGCAGTATACCTCGAGGTTTGAAAAATACTATTCTTATCAAGAAGATTTTTTTTCATCCATGATAATTACGCTTCCACGTTCCAAACTTCGCACTTACGTTTTAACGCTGAGCTGCCCTTAAGGCTCACAGCTTTTGAAATAGATTTCACAATCGGATGTGAACTAATCCTTTCTCCCAGTTCTGGATTCGAAAAGGTAGCTACAACGGACTTGTGGATTAAAATGGTTCTATACGCAAACTTTCTATGCGCACAAAGATAACTAAGATATAATGCAACTTGTTGTGGTGTAGGGATTGTGAATTCGAGGCTGTTTTATATGTTTTTATTGTATAGTCGCGCCAAGCTAAGCGTATCAACGACAGTTCTTCTTCATTACAATCTCTTTAAAATACATCCCACCCGCAATTTTCCAGACCTCTAAAGACAGGTTTCTGATGTCTGGAGGAGGCATGTTGATCGTCAAGTCTATCAGGTGATCTCCAAGATTCTTTATCATAAATGGTTGATCCTTTGTTCTGTTCCTGAGATCGCCACGCCAATACACTTTTTCCCATCTCGGTGCTACTAGTAGGACTCTTGGAATTAAGGTTGGTAGAGGAAAGACCCATGCCAGGTGTGACTGAACGCATTGTGGAACACAGCTCTGCTGTCTTTTGGATTTAGTGACGCATAATTCGGTACTACTGCTGATTGATTTGTCGCAAACAAGTCTATTTCCGGAATTACCCATTTCTCGAAAATGATTTCGAGAATTTGTAGATTTCTGGAAAGGCGACCGGCAATACAATTGTATCTTCCGAGTAGAACGGATGGATCAGAATTCTGAATTCTCTCGTCATTATCAACAACTTCTTTGTTGCCTCTTATAATATAGGAGATTTTGTTCCTCCTTGTTTTCTGATATGGGCCACAACAGTCTTGTTGTCCGATTGGATCATAACCATTTCACCTTTTAATTCGTCTCTGAACCTGTTGAGAACTATCCAAATCGCGTACAACTCCTTCATGTTAACATGCCAATACCTTTGGGACTTTGTCCCAGGCCCGGAAAAGCATGTATCTCCGATTTGTGCACCCCATCCCGTATCTGAAACATCTGTCGTTATCAGAGTTGTAGCGTGTTTTATAAATATTGCATTTGATTCTCTGACGTTCTTTCTCCAACAAATACACTCCTCTAAAGCTTTTCGCGGTATCAACATTCGTAGTCGAGGCGCTTCTTCGGAAAGAAGTGGACTTGCTCTTTGTAGATACCTTGCGTTTAGGCGACCTAATGGTGTTACGAAGGCCGCAAAAGTCAATCTCCCTATAAGTGAAGTACCTATTTTCCAATTCCAGAATTTGGAATTTATGACTCGATCGAGGTCCTGGAGGATTCTGTTCACTTTCTCTTTGGAAAGCGACTTTCGATTTATTGCCGTGTCCCGCAAGATTCCCAGAAATTCTAACTTTTTGTGGGAAAAAGAATTGATTTTTGAAAGTTTATTACCCAACCTAAGTTGAGTAGTACAATTTTCACATACTGTATTTGACAACTGAAAGCGTTTTGGTCTTGACTCGCTATTAGAAAGTCGTCCAAATACACTATTACCCCGATGCCTTTTTTTCGTAAAGGACTTGCTATCCAGTTCGTTATCATGGCAAAAGCTAAAGGAGCGCCTGCCAGTCCAAAAGGTAGACACGCCCATTGATATATCTGTTTTTGGGAAACAAAAGCTAGGAATCGACGATGTTGCCTTTTGATCGGTACATGCCAATATGCCTTTAAAAGATCTATTTTTGATATGTAATCTAGCTCTTGCAGAAAATTTGGGACATCTTTTTGATTTATTAAACTGAACTTTTGGGTTTCAAAAAGACGTTTAACTGTTTGCGGTTGAAAACAGGTCGCATCGTGTTGTCGGATTTTTTTACAAAAAACATTTGTGATAAGAATCCGGTCGTCACTGTTGTTTTTTCTATTACACCCAATCTTATCTCTCGTTCGTACTCGTTCACTGAAAATCTTCTTATGTTGCGCTTTGAAAACGGTATGTTCGGAGGTTGCATAACGAAAGGGATAATGTACCCTTCTAAGATTCGTAGAATATGACGAGGTGGATTTAGTTATTTCCATGGATGTAGAAAATCCTTCAGTCGACCTCCGTAAAAGTGTGAGATAATCCCGCTGACCACTAAATTATCTTCTTTTAAAAGAATTTTGGATTCGCTTTTCAGATGACTTTGACTGTTTAGATAGAGTCTTGGTAAATTTATTTGGAGTTTTGTTTGAGTTCCGTTGGGTGCTTGATGTATTTATCAAGGACCGATGTCGAAACATTGCTTTATTGTATTGTTGTTGATTTTGCTGAAATGGCTTCTTGAACGTTGAATTAAATACCCGAAAGGAACCTCTTTCTCTTTTGATTAATTCAGACAACTTTTGCTCGTTGAATAAATGTGTGCGTGAAGGTGGGATTTCATTCAATTCACTCGCTAAAAATTCCGATCTATTAGGTCTAAAAATTCTTCAACGGTTTTCGAACACTTCTGATCTACGTGCACATGTATAATGTAATAAATCATCAGATGTCTGTTTAAAAGAATCCGATTTAGTGAAAAGAGATTGTTTCAAAAGGGACTCCGCTTCCGGATAATTTTTTGACCTCATTTAATGCTGCTTTAATCTGTGCCCTTTCTTTTAAAATGCCATGAGTGATAGTGTCTAGTACAGTATCCATTCTGGCCAATATATTTTAGCTATGAGAAGTCAAATTGCCAATACCTGTCAGTTGAGGATTTACTTTTAAAGCACTAAAAATTGGAGCGGCATGAAGGCGTTTCTGTACATTTTTATATTTTATATTGTTTCAAGATTTTGACTTCATTTTTGACGCGAATACCCTTGCTCTTCTATCTGAGAATCTGCTCTCGGAATAGACGGTTGAACTTCTTCAACAGCAGGTGTAAAATCGTAGGAATATTTGTTCATTGGCGCTTTTTGTACTTCCCCTATGCCCGGGGCACGCCAAGTGGATTCAGTAGCTATATCTGAGTTTGAGGTAACATCAGAATCGCAGTCTTCATATTTCTTATGATCTTCTGGCTGAGGATCTTGTTGGCCATGATCGATAGATACAGCTCCTAGCTGATTTATTTGTGATGATAGAGATTCAAAAATTGACATTACTTTATCCTCTAGAAGATCACCTCTTGACTTCTTCTTAGCTAAGGATGATTCATATATCTCACTATGTGACTTATCTGAACAACAATATTCTTTTAACAACAATTTTTTTTCTTATTATTTCTTTTTTTTACTTCTTCTTTTTGTAGAATCATTATTTTCTTCATCACTAGATACTAGATAACGATGCAGCAATTTTTTTTAGTTGATTCGAGGCTTCTTGTCTCGATACCAATAGAGAATGCATTCTACTCTGTATCGCTGCGTTAAAAAATCATTGTTTGAGTTGCAGAGTCTCTAATTAAGTTGGTTAATTTTGAAGGTGACATGATTAGCGCTCTACAAAAAGTCCAATCCAGCATTTTTGCTGTATAATCGCGATATGGACTTTCTGATATAAAAGAAACAGCTTCTGGGCTAAAGGCCGTTGCTATTCCAATCGTGGGGAGAGCATACCTTAACTTATTGAGAAGTTGTGGGTCCGGATTTGCACCAACTGTATCTTCTTTGGATAGCTTTGCAACGTTCCGTTCACGCCAACCTTCGGAGAAATTGTAGTTCACTAACTCGTAAGTCTTTCTAATACTCCATTATCATCATATTCCGACGTATCACCGTACAACTCTCCAATCGTAGTACATGCTTACCATCTGAAAACTATCCATTTATTCTTTAGGCAAGGAATTATATTTCATAAAAGTATTCATGCAAGTAACTGCACAGAGTAGAAAGTGTCAATTTTGCATATTGTTAAGCATAGAAGGCTGTAACATAGAATAAATAAGCCATTAGTTTACTTAATACTTAAGCCTCAAAGCTACTAAGCTGTTATATCTGACCAATAAGGCCTGCCATATTTGATCCGCAAGACTCTATATTGAGCCATAAGGCTGCTATATTTGAACTGTAAGGGTGATATTAACCCGTTAGGCTGTTATAATTGAGCCGTAAGGCCGCTATATTTGAACCGTAAGGCTGGAATATTTGAACCATAAGGGTGCTATATCTGAACCGAAATGCTGCAATAATTGAACCGTAAGGCTGCTGTTCTTGAGCTGAATTGCTATAATGGGAATAAATTCTCATTTCATAGATATTACATTTACAAAACATATACATACAGAAAACTAAAATATAAAATCATACAAATCTGACAGAGAATGCCAAATTAAATAATTAAATGGAGTTTATTTTAACATAAAATATTTGAAAATTTATATATCATGCAAGGAGTAATGAAATGTGAACATAAATGAACACAAATAATACATTAAAAATATTGAAATTATTCATTCATTTAAATGATATGAATAACAAAAAGCTTCTTAATTGCCCTTAGCCACCCTATTAAATATTGAACAAAAGAATTTAAACTTACCCTGTATGAAATATCACAATTTTGCACTAACACGTCTGCATCGATCTCGGTGAAACAAGCGTACTGACAAAAGGCGCCTCGGTGCGTTCCGAGCCGCTGCCGTCTTGCCGGCTACCCTCTCGCTTACACGCACTAGGAGCTAATTGAGTGGAATCCACACAGTTGGTATTGATTTGGGAATAGCGTAATCTCCGAAAGGTCAAGCCGAAGACACAGGCATGAAATAATTGTTTTGAGCACTTTTATCTATGGCTCTGACTAAACGTAGTGATTATATACTCTTTGGTTCTGAGGGTACCGTCTAAATATTACCATACTCTTTGAAGGGTTCTACAAAGGTGACATTTGGTTATCTCATGTATAGGTCCGGCAGGTGATAGATTAAATTAGAAAATGCTACTTGTAGATACTAAAATCTTGATCAAACAAACAAGAACTAAATAATTGATGTTATGAAACTGAATTCTCTATGTTAAATACTTACCGAGTAGAAGTTAAATGTCCATGTTTTAGAATAGAATAGAATAGAATGATTTTTATTCAATATTCATTATTACGTAATACTTATTGAAAGTCATTTTTTATTTACCACTGGTTCGGAAAATACCTCTGTCCTGGGAAGAACCAGCAAGAAACCCAGCGGGACTTTTTTTTTAAACATAATTTCACTTAACAATAATTTTGTTTATACAATTTCAAATGAATTTTCATAGAAACAGCATGGTGGCGATCACCTTATTCCCAAGGGTTATTTTCATTCATGTATTCCTTGATATTATAATAACCCTTTTTGTACAGTTTTTATTTAATAACACTTTTAAACTTGTTTATTGACAAACTATGAACATGTTCTGGGATTTTGTTGTAAAAGCGTATACATTGCCCCATAAATGAATTACTACTTCTGTGGAGTCTAGTAACTGGCATTGCAAGCTTATGTGTGTTTCTAGTGTTTAAGGTATGAATATCGTTATTAAAGCTATTTATGTTTTTATGTACATACATTACACTTTCATAAATATATTGCGATGTCAAAGTTAATATGTTTATTTATTTAAATTTTTCTCTGAGGGACTCTTTACAATTTAGGTTATAAATCGCCCGTACGGCCCTCTTTTGCAAAACAAATATAGCTTCAATATCAGTCGCATTACCCCATAGCAAAATTCCATAAGACATTACGCTATGAAAGTAACTTAAATATACTAACCTAGCTGTCTAATCATCTGTGAGACTTTTAATCTTTCTTACAGCATATGCTGCAGAACTAAGTCTGCTTGCTAATTTACATATAAGGGGGCCCCATTGAAATTTCGCGTCAATAGTAATACCAAGAAAAACTGGTATCCACAAGACTCAACTCCTCTCCATTTAAGAGCACATTGGTTTTCGAATGTTTTACATTAGGTATTGTAAATTTAATACATTTTGTCTTATTGCCGTTTAAGAGCAAATTGTTGGCGTTAAACCAATGTATTAATTTCGATAGAGCATTATTTACATCGTCATATTTAATTGACTGCCGTTTGAGTTTGAAAATTAAAGAGGTTTCGTCAGCAAATAATACTATATCGTGATTGTACAAGATAAGATAAGTCATTAATATAGATGAAGAACAGGAATGGGCCAAGAATCGAGCCCTGAGAAACGCCCATTGATACTACCGATCCGGAGGAACCTTTACATTGATCACGACTTTTTGAGTTCTGTTACTTAAATATGAAGTAATAAGTCTAAGCGCCAATTTTTTTACACCCTAATGTTGTAGTTTCCTGATTAATGTCTCATGATGAACACAATCGAAAGCCTTGGAAAGGTTACAGAAAATACCTAAGGCATCTTGTGAATCCTCCCAGGCATTAAAACATATTTCACAAGCTCAACACCGGCGTCAGACGTCGAGTGACCCCTCGTAAAACCAAATTGGTTTTTATGAAGTAATTTATTTGTATTAAAAAAAATAACAATTGATCCAAAATTATATTTTTTTCAAAAATTTTACTGAGAGTTGGTAGTACAGAAATAGGTCTATAATTAGCGGGGTCCAATATACTACCAGATTTAAATAAAGATATTACTTTACTATACTTCATTAAATCAGGAAACACACCAGAATCGATACAAGTATTAAAAATAATAGCAAGATAAGATGCAATTAAATCTATTATGGACGCAATAACTGTAATTAGTTTATTCATTGTAGTTTTAATTAATTTATGTCACACTTGTCTCGGGTGATATATATATTAATTTCCCTAACAGGACCCAGTGGACCAGCTGCTCCTCGGACCCGCTTATGGTATCCCCAAGATCTTAGACAAAGCGGGCCTCAAGATGAGCGACATCGACACCTGGGAGATACACGAGGCCTTCGCTGTACGTAATTATTTAAATTTACGTATTTATATTCATTACAAGTGATGATAGTACAGTACTTAGTTAGGACAAAGAATATATAACAGTAGTCTAATCATTACCGGTGCGAACTGGAAACTCGAGAGTCATGGATTCGAATCCGCCCTATCAACCATTTAACTACAGTGGTACTCCTAATATAAGCTTTCTTGGTATGGTGGTGTGGTTACGGGAATATGAGTAATAATAATAGGGTTACCCCGATAATTCTATTTTATTTTTTAAATAATACTAAGGGTATGTTTTTAAAACTCAAGGGATTTGTAAAGCCCTGTCTTGCAGTAGTCTACTTTATAGGTACATAATTTCGTGAAATAAAACTTCTTTCCATTTATTTATTTTTTTACGTCGTAGAGCCATGCTGCATAATATCAGCGTGAAATAGCAGCTTAGTTCTGCGGTATTTTGTTTGGTGAGTGCAGAGATCCAGAGACCATTTTTAATTTAAACAAAGCATTCCACCCTAGTCCTCAGATTCTTATTCATATATAGATATAGACACAGCATCTGGCTTACGGTCAGGACTGTGTGCTCGTTTGTCAACCTTATTCTATAATATATATATATATATATATATATATAAACAAGTATTATAATATACTACGTGACCAAAACAATTAAACGCATGTCAGCTAAAATGTAATTAGAACCAGGGAGGGAACACGGGAACGGTGATTAGTCAGTAGGAGAAGCGCGGGGATAGAGGCGGGTTCTGGGCGCCAAATCCACATTCCTGTCATGCGCATTATTGTTTTGGCCAAGTTGCATTATACCTGAGGTATCGATAATTTACCATTTTATAAGATATAGTGTAATTTTTTATACGATAGTAACATTCAATAAAATGCCCCTTTTACCCAATTTTCGCATTTATAAATGCTGTGCCTGACTAGTATTTTACGAGTATATTTTATGTATATACACATATATAATTTTCATACTTACATATACAGAATGTACAAAAATTTGGCCAGTGCTAACGTAATTTTTTCCTGCAGGGTCAAATCTTGGCTAATTTGAAAGCTATGGATTCTGATTGGTTTGCTCAGAACTATCTCGGCCGTCAATCAAAGGTATGTACATATTTATTATATAAGTAAATGATACAACTTATAATATTATTTTTTTAAAGTTTAGATTGAGTCAAATATTTCAAAATTTTCTCTAGGTGGGCAATCCAGATTTGAAGAAGTGGAATGCTTGGGGAGGCTCGCTCTCTATTGGACATCCTTTTGCTGCAACTGGGGTAAGTTTCTTGTGGTTGTGATGTTGTCTATTCACAAAACGAAGCCATAGACTATAATCAAAGATGGGAGCAGCATCAAGGGGCAACAGCGTCAAAGATAATAGATGTCTGGTAGGTACTGCAGATTCCAAACTGCTTGCCAAGTGTGACCATTATAGCGAATTCTCCTTACAATGGGAGAGACTCATAACCTATTCACTGGCTGATGATGAAGAAGGAAAGTTTTCTAGTTAAATTTCTCGCCAGTGAAGGTCAACTCTCAATGAGGGTATTACGACTTTTTCAGTCATTAGGGCGTCGCTATTTAGGATTGAGGTGAAATAATCGAGGAAGTAAATTTATAATATAAATAATTAATGTTTATTTCTGAAATATTAGTTATATTTTATATTAATTATATATATATATATTTATAAACCAAACTACGCATATTCTTAAAAGTAAAAGAATTTAAAAAAAAATAAGAAAATTAAAAAATACAGCATTGCGGCATTGTTTTGTATTTACGGTCGGTCATGCTGAATAAGAAGTCAGGGATTATAAGATAATATTTACTTTTATTAATTATAAATTGCACCAGGACATTTTTATAATTAATGATAATAATTAATTTCAAATTAATTATCCGTGAACGTTTAGGATAAGCTAGCTTGGTAAAACCAGTGCACCGAGTCACGCCAAAGCCAAGACTGCCCGCTTCGTTTTTTTTTGCGCCCATAGCAAGGCTACCCTCCGGATGCGGGAGAGGGAGGTGGGGAATGCTCATAGCATACCACGCAGCCGGCTGCGTGATTATGTGGGACTCACTATGAAGTGCCTACCCATTAAACACCATCTGTGGGACTGACTTTGACCAGTATGGCCTTTCTGCTGAATCGGAAGCGACCCCCTTTACGGAAAGGGGGCAGGCCCGCTTCGTCACTGCGCTGTCGTTTTATAGCCGTTGCAAAACAAGTCGAGTAGTAGGGTGGAGGGGGAAATCAAGTGGCATGCTGGGTGGTGGTGATCGGTGCACGTGTTGTTTACAATTTTTGCTGTGCCGGTGTACAACGACGTCGCCGTCATGCCGTCATATACGTTATATGTTTTTGACCAAGTGATTTATAGGGCATTATTCATAATGTCCATGTTCAGGCAATTTGACAAACGATGACATTGTGTGAAATAGGGTCACTTTAGTCTCTACTAAAGTGAACATTGTTACACCGTTACAGTCCATTAAAGAGCACTGCTGAACATAGGTATCCCCCATAGATTGCTTCACAGGGGCGATATTTGCCATAGTTGCCGAGCTCGGCAAGTGGGTTGGCAACTAGTGTTTTTATTTTTAGTCGTTATTAGGAAGACGCTGCTGCCCATCTTTCCTCTGTTGTCTCGAGGGAAATAAAATGGAAACCTACAGGATGATAGGGTAATGAATATTCTTACACCGCCACCACACGGTAACTAGCGACACATCTGGTGAGCGGAAAATGAATCCTCATTGTGATTACTTGTTCTCAACTGGATTGCATCTCCACCAGGTGCGTCTGGCCATGCACACGGCGCACCGGCTGGTGCGCGAGGACGGGCAGCTGGGCCTGGTGTCCGCCTGCGCGGCCGGCGGCCAGGGCGTCGCCATGCTGCTCGAGCGCCACCCGGACGCCCGCGCAGAGTAGCCAGCCCCACCACCACATCACCACAAGCGCGCTCTAATTCTCATGGCACTTTCGACGCCATCTCGATATAGATAGTGAGAGCTATCGTAACTGACCGAGTACCAAACATTTCATTTCATAGCGCTCCAATTTTTTCCGTGTAGATCTTATCACTGACTAATAACCAGATGGACGTGTCTACAAATTTGCGTATTTTGAGGAAACGTGATTTAGTGCAGAAATACGGGATAGTGGAAATTGTCCCCTGTTTCAACCTTCTATTACAATGAATAACAAATAGTAAAATAAAAAATTTTGTATAATCGACTTCAATGACCACATGAGGAGCACCAAATTTGAAATAAAAAAATTATCGAAGTCAATTCACTAAGAAAAAAGTGAAGTTATGAAGTAACACGCATAAAAAACCATACAGTCGAATTGAGTACCTCCTCCTTTTTGAATTCGGTTATAAAATAAATGGACATATCAACCGTTTTGTTCAAAACATTATCTATTAAACTAACATATTTATAAGAACTTGATCACTTTTATGTTATTATTAAAGTTTTTTTTTTCAAAACGGTTAAAATACGTTACTTTGCTTCTGATAATACACTAAACAAATATTAATCAAAAGAGCTAAAAAACATATATCCTTAATACGTCGTTTAGCCCTCACAATAAGTTAAATTTAATTAAGAATAGTATACAAAGATACTTTGTAAAAGATTTTTTTTTTAATTTTTTAAAAATAAAAAATACATACAATGTAATACTTATAATGTGATGCTCATAAAAATAATGAAAACTTCACATTACTTAAATCAATAAGACAATAATAATTATCTCACTCAGATAAATTATTATTATCAACAACACTAACAAACTGCGATAAAATTCGTGAATTGGTTGGATTTTACGCGAGAGATAGACAAATAACTCTGCATATGCTTTTTTCAAAACAATGTTATCCATAGCAGATCTTCCACCTCCACTTTAATCATTTTAAATTCGGAATCATCTAAATGGTACTTGATGAAGTTAGTGTCAGTGTTGACATCGTCTTTTCGATATTGTAATCATCGAATATTTAACTCTTTCACATGAGTTCCTAAAAAGTTATCTTTTTAAAGTAAAAACAATATAATTTTCTATAAATTTGTAGTACGTTCATCTGGTTCTTAGCCGGCGTTATACTCATTCTAATTAGATACGACTGTTAAAATAATTATAACATAGTTATATAAACTATATATAAAATGAGCCCTAATGTTAATTTTGTTGAATAACGTTAAAATAATACTAAAAGACATTTAATGAAGAGATTAAAAACATCTGTCAATCATGACTGGGGTATGCATAAATATTATACAGCTAAATAATTATTTAACATTAAGTGAATCATTAATTCATTCTACTTTAATATAATCCAAAAAAGCCGAAATTTTTAATATTATATTTTATAAGCGTATTTTATTAAGAATATATATTTATAAAATATATTGAGTGCATAGGAAAAGTAGATAATAAGTGCTGTAATTTCTATTTATACAGATGTTGCTAAAAATAAATAAATTAATAAATAAAAGCTGTTTTTTTTTTTGCGAAAATTTACTCATTTTTCAACATCACTTGCATTATTAAACTGGGTGTGTGTGGATGTGTGTGTGGGTGTGTTTGTGGGTGTGTTTGTACGTGTGCGTGGATATGTGGGTGTGTGCGGGTGTGTGTGAGTGTGTGGGGGTGGGGGTGTGGGTGCGTGCGTGCGTGCGCGCGCGCGCGCGCGTGTGCTTGCGTGTGTGAAACCGTAACTAACAACATGTTATCAAAATATCATATATCGATAAACCTAAGTACATAACCGTTATCGCATGTACTCCTCGCAACCAAAACCATTTAACCAACAACGTACGTAACGAAATTTAAAACGCAAGCTGGAACGATATACCAACATGGCCCACGAACTAACCGATGTTCTTAGTTGATATTCGTTGTTTCTCGTTCAAGCGACGGTATCATAAATATGTATAGAAAGAGATGAAGCGAATATGGATTTCGTTGCGATGTTTTGATAGTTATCACACAACGGTGCACATAGTGAAATTACCTAAAGCAATAAGGTCGAATTTCAAATGATTAAAATTTGCTTAATTTTTAAGTTTGTGTAGTTGTGAGAGTTGTCAAATTTAAATGATCTCTATGATTTGTATGGCCATATTAGGCTTAGGCAACGTTTTGTTTATGTTTTGGATGGAAAGTTTTGAATTAGAATTTTTTTCTAAATGCAACAATTAAGTTCTTGACCTTGGTTTCGCGTGCCGTTCATTATGATATTATCTATAAAATTATTAATTTTTGAGGTTGCATTTGTGCATTTATTTGCAATATTCATGTGCAATTTGTACATTAGTTTTAATTCAGACAATTGTGTATATAGAGAAAGTATAGTATAGTTTAAGTTGATTTAGACCACTTTCTCAAATTGGGCGATAACGCCCCCTTGTGGGCGTTGGAGACCTAGAGGAGGGCGTTGGCTTGGTTTAAAAATAAAGATAAGGACAAAAATGTACCCTATTTTCAAGACCTGGAAAAGAAGCATAATACTCAGCCAAGTGCATCAAAACTTTTTTCGGCGGCTGCTAAGCAAAAGGATGACGGACTTCGAGCTCCATATAATATCTCTTTGTTAATTGCTCAAACAGGTGAACCACACATCATCGGAGAAACTTTAATTTTGCCGGCAATTAAAGAAGTTATAACTACTGTGGTCCATAAACCGGCGGTAGACATAATTCCAGTAACTCCTTTGAGTAATAGTTCTTGCAAAGACGCATTGATGAAATGGCTGAAAACATTGAAGAGTCATTGTGCAATCATCTGAAGACTAGGCAATTTTCAATTCAATTGGATAAGTCCACTTTACCAACTAATGAAGCATTGCTGCTGTTTTATATCAGGTTTATTAAAGATGAAAAAATATGTCAAGAACTATTATTTGCTAGAAATTTAAAGATAGACACAAAAGGAGAAACCATATTTAAAACACTGGAAAAGTTCTGTGATGAAAAAGGAATTCCCTTGAAGAATATTATATCAGCTGCTACAGATGGTGCTCCAGCTGTGACGGGGTGCCAAAAAGGCTTAATAGCGTACTTAAAAAACAAAATTCCAGATGTGCTCGATATACATTGCGTTATACATCGACAAAGTTTGGTTGTTAGAAATTTAAGTGAACGATTGTTTCAATCATTGCAACATGTCATCAGAGCAATCAATAAAATCCGAAACACCTCTTTAAATGACATATTATTTAATCAGCTTTGTGTTACTAATGAAGTTAGGGTGTCACACAGAAGTGACTTGGCTATCAAAAGGAAATTGTCTGACTCGATTTTACAATCTGTTTGACTCTGTTGTAGAGTTCTTGGAAAACAAAGACACGGAATTGCGCGACAACCTCATCACGTCAAAGAATGATATCGCATACCTGACAGACCTTTATAAATTGCTTAATGATATGAATCTCCAACTTCAAGGCGATGACTTGAACTTAATAAAAACAAAAAATGTCGTCGCTGCTTTCGCGGCCAAGCTGCTCTTCATCATCATCACCATTACAGACTTTCACAAGTCCACTGCTGAACATAGGCCTCCCCCAAGGAATGCCACAAAGCACGGTCCTGACACACCTGCATCCATCGACTTCCTGCATGTCTTACCAAGTCGACACTCCATCTAGTGGGGGGACGCCCAACACTTCATCCACCGGTACGAGGCTGCCACTCAGAACCTTTTTTCCCCCATCGGTTGTCGGTTCTTCTAGCTATATGGCCGGCCCATTGCCACTTCAGCTTATTAATCCGTTGGGCTATGTCGGTAACTCTGGTTAAACTGCAGATATCCTCATTTCTAACTTTATCACGCAGAGAAACCCCGAGTATAGTCCTCTTCATAGCCCGCTGAGTAACCTTGAGCTTTCTCATACAACCAGCAGTGAAGGACCACGTTTCAGTTCCATAGGTCATCACTGGCAACACGCACTGGTTGTACATTCTAGTTTTTAAGTTTTGAGGACAAGAATGATGTGCCGTAATTTCCTGAACGCTGCCCAGCCGAGTTGAATCCGTCGATTGACCTCTCGGTCGAAGTTGGACTTACCTAGTCGGACTATTTGTCCCAAGTAAACATACTCGTCAACAACTTCGAGCTTAGTGTCCCCAACAACTACCGGCATAGGTGTGACATACACTTTACACAGTGGTAACGCCAGTTAACAATTTAATTTATAAATCTAATAGAATACTTGGTACATAGCTTTAACCCTTCCCTTCCCTTATCCTTCCTAGATGCACGCATAGCCGTTGAAGGCGACGCAAGTGCCACGCAGCGGCAATTAGTTATGATCGAACAATACCCGCGACCGCATACCGCACGAAGGACATTGCGTCCTTCGGTCTCCTCTTTAATATCAATTATCACCGGACATTGAGTCCTAGTAATTTAGCGAATGTGATGCGCCCTCCGCGATTACAATAAGTCGAGAGCTTAGGAGTGTGTGAAATCCTAAATCTAATTTAAGAGTGCGTGCGCCAACCCACGTGGCGGACCTGCTGTGTTAGCTGATACTCCGGGAGGAAGGCGAGGCAATCCCTCACAAGGTTAGTGCGTGCATTCCACTTTCATCCACTTTCCTTGCTCCGCTTGTTGCATGTACCAATACAGTCCACAAATCTTTATCGAAGAACTCATGTTACTGGCGCGTCCATTTTTTGTGTGGTCCTTCGAGCCGGATTGACCATTTTACTGGTCACTTCTCGCTGGATTGACCTTCCGCCCTTGTTAGGATACACTAATAAGTGACATCAGTAATCATAATTATAGACCATATTTTGTTTGGCCACTTTGAGCCTATTCACATTTATTGATCTCCCGCCCTTATTAGAACACTAAATAGGTTCTATTAAGCGACAACAGTATTAATTAGAAAACTATAATTGTAAATTAATATCTATATTTCA